TGTGTTACAACGTAGCCTTAACCTACCTATTCATTACATTACGGTCCTAGCTTACCTAAAATTACAAAACTCAAGAGCCCAATTCATTGGCCTTTCGGCACCCACCCCACCACCTACGTAATGCCTTGGGCTCCAACTTAATAATGATAATGTAAAACTTAACAATTAACCTACCTATCGATACACTTACAGCGTTTTAATTTACATTACAAGATTTTTCCTAGAATTACATCATTGCTCTTAACTACCTATGAAATTAAATTACTCTCAACCTTAGTAATAATAAATTAGAATGTGTAATGAAAATAAAATTACGCTCAAATACTAACATATGTGTTTATGTATGTATTTGTGTGTGTGTGTGTAATACGCTGGTGCGTGTAATGTGGGTGCAAGATAAAATAGAATAGATAAACTTACGCTGCCTACCTATTCAACTACATTAGTGTTGGATGCTCCCTATCTATCCTACCTACTATTAAAATTAGGCCTATCTAACCTACCTATATAGCTACTTAATGTAATTGTGAATGCGTGTGTGTGTGTGTGAGCATTCCTACTTAATGTTAAATTACAGAAAAAAAGAAGAAAACGTATCCCAGTCAGGCAGGTATTCTTTGCCACTGAATGAACAAACGTAGCCTGACATCTTCCATGATGAACTCCTCTGGAAGCTTCAACCTGAATGAAATGAAAAAATCCTATTTAATTAATTAATTTAAATGAAAATAGAGAAACGAGCCACGGTGAAATCCACCAGCCGGAAAAGCCAGCAAACTGGCAAAAAAAGAAACCGTTAAGAAACCGTAAAGTCGGAAGTTAGGGTTAAGGTTGAACGTAGGGTGACATCACAACCATTCTGATCCTCCACGACGAACTCCTCTGGAAGCTATAACCTGAATGAATGAAGCTGAATGAACCTAGATGAATGGACAAATCTTATTTATTTAATTAATTTAAATGAAAATAGAGAAACGCAAAGAAGCCGACCGGTCGGCAAAGAAAAGAACCGCAAAGAACGGTATCTATATAGGATTTATGCTCTATATAACTCTATATAACTCTATATAACTCTATATAACTCTATATAACTCTATATAACTCTATATAACTCTATATAACTCTATATAACTCTATATAACTCTATATAACTCTATATAACTCTATATAACTCTATATAACTCTATATAACTCTATATAACTCTATATAACTCTATATAACTCTATATAACTCTATATAACTCTATATAACTCTATATAACTCTATATAACTCTATATAACTCTATATAACTCTATATAACTCTATATAACTCTATATAACTCTATATAACTCTATATAACTCTATATAACTCTATATAACTCTATATAACTCTATATAACTCTATATAACTCTATATAACTCTATATAACTCTATATAACCATGCATACTACCACATTCAATCAATAAAAATCCCACTAAAACCAGGAACCACCGCGTACCTGCTGAATGTATGATGTGAAACAAAACAAAAAAAAAAAACACAAAACAAAAATCACACCACCAAGTAGAGTAAAAGAATAGGAGTCCTTAACCTACCTATGTAACTAAATTACCTTATGCCCTAGCCTACCTATATAATAAATTAATTTTTACCTCACCTACCTATGCTTCATTAACTTAACTCAAGACTCATGAAGAAAGAGAAAAAGGTGTAAAACAGAACATAAAATACTACCACACAAACAAACATGATGTATGTATGTATGTATGAGCAACCGCTAAAGAACCCACCTAAAATATAAAAAAATACAACATACAAACACACAAACCACAGACATGCAAACTCTATATAACTCTATATAACTCTATATAAAATAAAATTAAATAAAAATAAATAAATTAAAAAAATATAAATATAAAAAAATGAGATCAGGCACTCCGACTCGAGCGAGGCAAAAATGCCTGATCTGATTTCAACGTTTTTTCAGCTCCTATTTATACTCGTTTCAACCATACATTTTCATCATTTCAATCATTCACATCAATAAAAAACTTATTTAATGTATGTACTACACTATTATACAGTCTTAACCAAAATGCTTACCGTACTAAATTGAAGTCATCGAACGAACGCCTTCGAAACTTTCTGGTTGGTTGGTTGAATCTGCTATATTGCTTTTCATATAAACATAATCTAATATAATATAATTTAATTATTTGTATACATGGATTCCAGTCACTTTATATATATATATAATAAAAATTCATTATAAAAGCAACAGTAATCAGTGCTATATATGTAAGCACGCAGTTCACATTTTTCGGGGAGAATTCAAAATTGTTTGAGACCACACCTTGCTTAACATCCAATTCCAAGCCGAGCCAAGCCAAGCTGAGCCAATATGCATAAATTCATTATAAAAAACAACAGTAGCCATTACTATATATGTACGCACGCAGTTCAAATTTTTCGGGGAGAATTTAAAATAGTTTAAGACCACACCTTGCTTAACATCCGATTCCAAGCCGAGCCAAGCCAAGCTAAGCCAATATGCATAGATTTATAAGCGCTTTTATATTAAAATTTTGCTCGCTTTTTAAACGAATATCCCAATATAACAAATTCTCCATCCTATTTTAACTTTCTTTGATGCTTTTTAATCAGTCAGGTCACAAAAATCATTAGTGATATCGCAATGAAATCAATTTGAAATTTTTTTTTAATTATTGATAAAATTTTTAAATTGTTGATAAACTAGTATATATAGTGTAGTAAAACGTTTAAAATTTTCTGAGAGAATTTAAAATAATTTGAGACTACACCCTAACACAATTGTATAATTTGAATGTGTAAATACAACATTATAAATGTATTATAACTACTTGTCTATTTCTTTATTTAGTTCTGCCTGTGTATATTTTGTCAAATTTATTTGATAGGAATTGAATATAACCTTTATACCGGCTGATTAACTACCATGCAGTAAAATAACTACTGTTGACACCATTTCCTCCAACGATTTCGCAACGAATTACCCATACCATATAATTAGAATAAACTCTTTCAATCAATGTTTAAATTTTTATATTGTCATTTATTCTTTCGTTTTTGTTTCTGTACTAATTTTCGTGTCAGATACAATAATTTAGTTTTTAAGTAAATTTTCATATTCGTAGCTATACACAAACATGCCTACCTGTTGCATTAAAAATTGCATTAATAATAAATAGAAATGAGAAAATTTCTGATGCATCTTTTCACAGGTTTATTTTCAAATTAACTTCACACTAAAATAAATGTAACAATATCCCTATACTCGTTGAATAGAACTATTTTGTTTTACAATTACATATATTTTATTTTATAGACTATTATAATTTATAATGCTATCATGGATTACCATTTTATTATTAAAAGCAATACTTAAGAAATGCACAAGTTTCTGTAACAGTTTATAAAATTTCAGATTTTCTCAAAATGTAAAACGATTGGATTAAGTGCATCAAACAGTAAATAAATGATTTCAAATGGCTTCCATCAAAAAATGCAAGAATATGCAGTGACCATTTCTGTAATAAAGATTATAAGGGTTATGATGGAGAAAGGAAGGTAATGCTGAAGAAAGCATTCCCATGTTTTCAAGTTAGTTATATTTATATGTCATCAGTTACACAAGGAAGCAATTCACATCATCATTGTACATTGCAACATTATCTATACAAAAAATATAAAATGCATTCACCAATATTCCATGTATTTTATTAAAACTTAAAAAGGCATAATGACATTGTGAATAATAAACCCTGTTTAGGACTGGGATCATCATCATCATACCAATCACCATATACCATTACAAGTAGAGTCAATTTTATATTAATGCTTAACAAGTTAACTAAATTGGCATAATCAAGTTTTTATATGAAATACACATCAAGTATTTAATGTAACAAATAAATTAACAGAAAAATTTCTGGAAAAGTTTAAAAAAATTAGAACATATGACTCTGATCAAAAATCATTCGCGTTGACACTGCATTTGTATGGGCATAAGGCATATGATTATCTTTGGACAAATGGCTTACATCTTCCTCACACTAGGACATTAAGAAAGTAATCTTGTCATACCTGTTAATAATTTTAATAAGATTGTTTTAAATAACTATTCTCAATGTCATTTTATTAACACTACATTAAAAGGTGGCTACAAAACATTGATGGAATGCCTGGGGTGATTTCTACAAACCTTATTGACTAATGGTGATGGGGATCCTCTGGAACTGTAGGGTCATGACATTCAATCTAGTCATGGATTGAGAAATCAATCCTTGATATATTTGATAACAAACATTTATTATAATATAAGAATGAAAAAAAGATGTAGGTGTAAGGCAAAATCTTACTGGAACTATTATTTTTAGTAATTTATGATATATTTTTTTATTTATGACTTTATCCATTTTCAATGATACCGATATTTTTAATTATTATTATCCAAATTATACTCATGCCTATATAAATTAATTTGATTGTGGCTATTTCTGTGCTTAATTATTTTATTTACTTGCTATAGGTATGCACAGCATTTAATAAATTAATGATAATAATTAATAACACAACATTCTAAGTGCATAAAATATAATAAATTAAAAGTACAATTTTTACAAACCTCATTGGTTATGGTGATTCTTTAAAACTGAATGATCATGATCTAACAAGTCATGGATTGATGAATCACACATTATCTTTAATAAATTTAATAACAACATGTACTACAATTTAAGAATGAGGAATATTTTGTAAAACATTAAATAAAAAAAAATTTAGTTTGAATCACTCATAATAAATAAATTTTAATTAAATTGCAAGTTAGCTTGGGGAGTTTGAAGCTTGAATTGAACAAATTACAAAATTGTTTATTTTATAAAATTGATTGGTAAGTTGTTTAATATATTTATTTAATTTAGTATATTTTTTATTCCCAGACCTAAGCATTGTAAATAAAAATTTTAAAACCAATCAAGCAATAGAATTTAGGATCTTAGGAACAAGTGCTGTTAGTGTTAGTTTAATTATTAGAGTTTAGTAATTTAATTACTAATTAGTCGCCGTTTAGTGTTGTTGTGTTGTTGGTGGTTCACAAAAAATTTTTTTTATTTAAAATTCTATCCCAAAACAGCATCTAGTATCACCTTTTAAAACATTTTGAAATTTTAAATAAAAGCAATATTCCGAAATAAGTAAATATACGATCGTAACTTTTGACTTGGGCGATAAAAAATTCACCCTCCAATTTTCCTCCGGAAGTAAGCTCCTTGTTCGACCGTCAAAAATGAGCGAAGGCCGTTATATTTATTTTAATTATATGGTACAAAGCATAAAATTCAGGTTAAATTTGGATTCAAAATCGTTTAAGGGTAGATTGCATTGTCAAGCGTTTTACATTTTATTTATTTTTTTAAATTCAATAACATTTTAAAAATAACAGTTTTCCTTTTTTTAGTATTTCGGCTGTTTACATTATACTGTCGCTAACCAACGAACATACAGGCTGTATTTAGATTATTAGTTGCATCGTGGGTGGAACTTATGAGTCTCTTTAAACTGTTGACTATAAATAAATATTTCTGGAAAAACCACTTTGCCGTCTCCGAGATTACCGATATATCCATGCAACAAACCCAAACGTGTTTCTGTTTATTTTTTATATTTTATGTTTTTTTTGTTTATTAATTTAAATTTTAGCTTATTACATAGGACAGTCATAAAAATACAATACTGAATCCACACAGTTAATTTAATAGTTATTTTAGATTTAGTTAGAGTACTTTTAATTATTTAAAAATTAAAATTAATATTAATTACTAAATTTAAAAAAATATTTGTATTACATTACACAAGCACACATAATGAATGACATGTGTCATTTCCACATTAAAATAATTTTTGCATTAATTTTCGTTTTGAAATATTATAACTCACGTTTGCGATTCGTTTGTTGGAAAATAAAACTTTAAAATGTTAAAAATCGCATCATCATGCATGCCTGTTCATTGCAATCGCGACTCACTTTCAATCAATTTGCCAAATAAAAAGTTGAGTGCGACGTTGATAAATGTTATTTATATTGATACACTGCTTATGTTGTTTATATATATATATGTATACACTCTATATACCTTATAAGGTTAGCGTTATTGAAATATAGCACCAACGATACAAAGGCACCTTACTTTTTACAGTTAAGTAACTGAACCGACAGATGAATATTAGTTGGCCGGCGAGATGGCTCAGTGGTTCAAATGCGCGCCGAGTCAAACATCTCAATGGCTATCACATAAATACATAAATACATGTGCAAGTCGTGTGAAAAGAATAAACAGCCTTTGTGGCTTCAAATCAATGGATGAAGATATGAAGAACGTAATAAAAATATGTAGATAATATATACGCAACATTATAAGTGGTTCTGAGTATGTCAGAGCTGCAATAATAAAGAATGAAAAAAAAAAATTTCGAATGAACGTGACGCCAATGTTTTCAAGCCATCTTCGTTTCAAGTTCTATTGTACAGATCCTATACTAAAATTCCATGGCTTAATTCCATGAGGTTGAATACAGACACAGGCATTTTTACACTATTTGTATAAGTCATTGTTAAAAGATAATTATCCTCTTTGTGATCAATCAACCTCTTTAAGCTTCTGTGACAGTTCTTTGAATGACTGTAAATAAAAAATTAGGCAATTTAAATGCTTTACTCTAAATATTCTTTTACAAAAATTAAAAAGGTAACGGTTAAACTAACATAATCTATTGAATCATCACTATCTTCAAAACAATAGTAGAAAAAAGCTACAATGTAGTCGGTGGCATGGTTAGGTGGGTCCACAAAAAAATGTTTACCACTTGCGAAAATAATCTGTAATCAAAAGCATAAATGACATTTTTCCAATGTTTTTAATAAATTTTAAAACTTACATGACTAGAGCCGGTAGTTTCTTCGAATTCGCCAACATATTGGTATCCATTCTTTAGTTTCATCCACAGACAGACACCACCCTGAGGCACCGTCCATTCAATAGAATCTGTAGATACAAGATATAATTTCAACATCAACTAAGATGTCATCAAAAAATAAATCTTTTATTTCAAGCTTGAAGCTTTTAAATTGTTATGCAAAAAAAATTGCAAACCTTTGAGATATTTATCCGCTGCCCTTAAAACAACTTTCAGCTTATCCTTAAAGAATTCTGCCACACTAAATATAAAGCAGATTAAAAAATATATAAGGTTTTTAATGATTTTACAGCTTTAATGTATTTAGTTTTTACAGCTATAATATCTCAACAATAGACATGTTTCACAAGATCTGAAAAATAATGATTAACATTATACCTCCCCACATGCTAGCAAAGCAAGACGAGTATGAATGAACAACGTGGGAGAAATTAGGCGTTCATTAACTTATCACTGAAATACTTGAAAATTTTCTTAAAAGATTAACTCGATTTAGTATTGTTAGATTTTTGCAAACGTGATACATGGTTGACGAGACATGTTATGTTGCCTGCATACACGCATGGCCTTTTTTTTAAAAAGCTTGGTTTTAAAGCGTGATAAATTCACGTTACCTATATTTAAGAAATCATGAAAAGTTGAAATATTGTTAATATAACCTATTAGTATAATCTTTGAATCCATCATAACCTAATTCTTTGAGCAGTTCAAGTGTCATAACCTTGAAAATGGTTCGATTAGTAGTAATTTAATAAAACGAAAAAATTACAAAGACAATACAAAGGTTAAATAAGCACATCATGCTAATTCATCATAAGAGCAAGCTGCTTAATTAGGCATGTAATTATTCTACATTTCAGAAACATGAAAAAAAAATATGGAATGAAAAAATGTAATAACTTGTGAAAGTGTAGAAACGTGCATGGATGAGACCATAACGTGCAGGACGATTCGTTCAATCAATGCTTTAGCGCCTGTGACATACCCAATCTGAAGACTAAACACAAAATGAGTATGTAAGACATTTTAAAATGGAAGCCAACGCATACACTCAGCTCTACATGCACATCAAAGAAAAAACGTCCAAACAGCCAACAAACCCAGGTGAGATGACTGCAGAGAGCGAATCAAACCTCAGAACCCTTCCATCAACGTCCATTGATAAATAACTCGGTTCTGGCTCCTTTATAAAAAATTCAATTTTAAGAACGTGATGGCAAATTTATTAATAACATTTACTATGTAAAATAGTTACAACGGGAATATATGAGCAATGTGTTATGATAGACTTTTGGATTATGTTTGAAATTTTACTGATTCCATCAAGTCTATTTTTAACCAAGACTTCTTCAGTGACAGAAGAATCATAGAGTAAAAAAACTAACAAACCTTTGTATATTGTAGGAAACTGTACGGATCATTTTCTAAGATCAGAAGATCATTTTCCTGGGCAAACTAAAATAAACGAAAGACAAATATGGATGTCAACGTCTTTATGAAAATTAAATGATGGGATTGATTTTATATGTGATGTGTACATACAACAAATTCAAAAAATTTTTCATCGAATCTTAACACAGCACTTTTGGACACTTCACTTTTCAAAATTTTGTGCTACAAACGTTTCTGAACAGAAACAAGTAATGAATGAACCTTGTAGACCATCTCTTTTCTCTCCAATGTTGTTGTAATGCCAGCTGGAATGCTTCCATTTGGTGATGTGTACAGAAACTTCATTGAGTTATTGTTATTTCCACATTTACTAATTTGAGCAAGTGATGATGGCGTGATTCCATGACTATCAGTTTCAAGAGGCACTATTGTACATTCTAAAGGCTTTAACTGTAGTGTTGTTTTTAACAGTATATTCAGTTGAGACCATTATGAAACAAAATATAATTTTTACAAGTCCTTTCTGCGTTGAATTATTCCAAGGAAGAAAAGTGGAAAATTTTCTATAAGTAAACTTAAAAACATTTAAAATTTTCAGAAATTAAAAAATACTGATTTATTTGATACAAAGAACTCACAGCTGATATGACATGAGAACACAAAGGTTGCTCAATGAGCACCTGGTCACCAGCACTAACCAACATCTCAAAACTCTGTTGAAAATATTATGCAATGATAAAGTAACGGCAATAGAGTTGAAAATATCCAAACAGTAATGTAGATTATTATTTAATAAATAGATTGAAATAAAGTAAATAATAAAATGGACAAAAAAATACAACTTTGACAATAATGATGATTTTTACAAAAAATTACAACTTTTGTTAATCCATCCAGAGAGCCAGAAGTGATGCACAAATCTAGTTCATTAGTTTTTGATAGTGGAGGCCTGTGTAAGTGCTTCTGCATTTCCATTAGACGTTTTACCAAGTGAGAAACTCTGTCCCATTGATGCAAATAATAAAATCAAATTTAAATTGTATTAATATATTCAGAACTGTCCAGTTTAAAAAATAGTCATTTTATCTATATATCATGATTTATTAAATGATACAGCAACTATCACCAAACATAACTTTAGATAAACTAAAAAATAAATAAAAAACACATTCATTGTAAATGGGTGAATTGAAGATAACCACCCTGCAGAGGCATCATATTGCAATGCAACATTCAATGATTCTTCACTTAAATGTAACTTCTTGCCATTCCTACAATTTAAACATATTGATGTGCAACATAATATTAAGAAATTGAGAAATGATTAGAAATTTTAGTTTAACTGATTCTTAAAAATTGTTAAAAGTTATAAAAAATAAACATAAATTAATAGAAAAAAAGTATACCATAATTTGAAAGTTGCTTCTTGAAAAGGAAAGAGTGAAGGATTTGGATTACCACCAGCTAAGGATATCATGGAAGGACCACTGAGGGCTTTCAACGCAGCTTTTATGATTTAATTCATTCATTGTTTGTCTTTTAATGTTTCATTATTATAGTTAAATATTTTATAGAAATGAAATAAATAATAACAGCAATATAATGATAATTATATTTCACTTGATCTAGATATAGATTCTATATTATAAATCATCATTCATTTCTTTTTAAAATTTAATAGAAATGCTAATGATATTATTAATGACATTGACAATGATGACAATAATAAATCATTATGACTAAATAATGATAATCAAATAAATTGAAAATCTGAAAGCCAATTTATGTTGACTGTTGTAAAGTAATGTAATTCAATAGATACTTAGTAGTCGTATTGGGGATGGCTGTCTTGCCAAGCTGGTAGCATTTAAAAATTTAGTGTAATTCATTTGTCTTCAAGATTTCTTTTCTATATAACAGCAAATTTTTGGTTTTGTTGCAAATCTTTGGTTTTGTTGAGGGAAAATTAATTATTTAAAATAAAAGTTAAAACAATACTGTATTATTATGTATTTAAATTTTAATTTAAAGTTTAGTTAAGTGATAAAATTGATTTAGTAGTCAATTTTAATTTAAAAATTCAATATTAGACAAATTTTAATAAATAAGTTAACAAATAAATTTAATAAATTGTCCAATGCGAACTTTTTCACTAGCTAACAGATAGCAACACCTAGCCTCATCGTCAACGTGTAGAAATACAAAAGGATCATCATAGGTACCACAAAATAATTCTAACACATGTCAGTGACATATGTACATACATTCATCATAAAGTAATGTAATTAATATATGTATGTATGTATATGTATCAGTATATACACCAGATACAATGCACATAGGTAGGCAAGTTTGTAAACATTATAAGATAAATCATCTCTGTTCTATAAGATGAGTAGTCTATATATAGTTTATATCATTGCCCTATAAGATAAATCATCTCTGTTCTATAAGATGAGTAGTCTATATATAGTTTATATCTTTGCCCTATTTTTTTTTAACAAGGCTTCAAGCCTCCTTTTATTCTTCTATTATTCTTCTATTGCTGCGGACTCAGCTGTTTCGATTTAATTTTGATGGTTACGAATAAATTTAAATTTATTATAATTACAATCGTTCTTAAAACAGTAACGGTATGATATGAAGCTTTATCTAACAGCTAGATTTTAAATCCGATAGCCAGTAAATAGTTAGCGCTTCAAAATGAAACATTTGTTTAAAAATTTTTTGTTTTTGTCTGACTTCACTTAACTTGCTCTCCTAATCCGATTTAACTTTTTGGTCGGAAAGTTGTTAAAAGTTTTGCTTTCAATTTAACTTTTTAAATGGAAAATTATGATGATGGGGATTCCGAATTGACCTACAGAAATTATCCAATTATTCATCCGCCGGCCGACTTAAGTCCGTGTTCGGAATGCCTCAATGCCAACAAGTCGGCAGAAGTTTCCTATTTTGATCCTAATTGTGAGAATTGTCAGATGTTTGTGAGCCACGATGCATCAATTGCTGAGATGTTTGCTGTTTTGAGGCAGTGGACGACTGCTGTGCAACAGTCCGTTAAAACTGTCATCTGTCAGGTCAGTTAATTAAAAATTAAAATTAGTTTTTATAAAAGTTAAAAAAGAATAATAAAAAATAATTTTATTATTATTATTATGTGGACTCAATATTTCCTTTTTCCTGTATAACTTTTACTATACAAATTTTTTTTGTTATATTTCTTGTAATATAATTTATTTTATATTATAATATGATTCATTAGTACTGTTATAGAACAACTTGTAATCCAAATCCAATGTATTTCTCTCTCTGTCTCATGTAGAGTTTAATTTAATTTAACAATTTAACTACATGACAGATGCTGGATTGTGGTGCTCATGTAAATGACAGGGATGGGCTGACAGACATGACAATGTTGCACTATGCGGTTAAATCTGGAGCAAGAGGCATGGGTAACATTGATGACGCATGTCAGATAGTTTTGTTGCTCCTGTCCAGAGGGGCTGATCCATACATTCGTTGTCGATGGACCAACATGGCTGCCATACATTATGCTGTCTATTTTGATGTTCACCTAGTTTTGGAGATTCTGCTGAATGCTTCTAAAGGCGTTGGTTAGGTTTTTTTTTGTTATCTATGTTTCAGCATTTTTGATGACCTATATTTTATTAATGCTTCCCGTGATAGATGTAGATAGTTTATGTTATGAATTTGATCACGGTACACCTCTGCACATTGCTTGCCGAACTTTGGCATTGGAATCCACAAAGGTGCTGTTGAAATATGGAGCTGATAAAAGCATCAAAGATGTTAATGGAAAGCTATCTACAGGTTTTTTAAGCCTTTATGTGTGTACAGTTGTATCTTAGTTTTAAATGATTCTTTCTAAAAGATGTTTAGTTAATTTGCATTGATTAATCAACTCAACTATATTTTGGCAGACTGGCTGCCCAGCACAGATTCATATGAAATATCAACTGAAATAAAGAAGACAGTTTCAGAGCTGAAAACACTCCTCGAAAAATCACCATCCAATTCCACATCATTTTTTTCCCACACCCCTAAAGAATCCACTCAGATTTCTTGCATTCTCAAATCACTGGATGTCAAAATTGGAGATAAAGTTTTTGTTGGTGGTGTCAAGGTTGATTCTTCATTTCTTTGTATATTCTATTTTTATTCTCCTAATTTTAACTGAATATGCATTAAAATAATGTTCCCATATAAACAGACTGGAATCTTACGATATTGCGGTCCGACATTATTTGCCGGTGGGTTTTGGGCTGGTATAGAACTTGATGAGTCCATTGGGAAGAACAATGGCTCCATTAACGGCATCCAATATTTCAAATGCCCTCCAAATTATGGTCAGTTACTGGGTTTTTATTCAATTAAGTGGAATGTTTCGTCAAACTGATTGGCATTCCATTTGCATTTTGAAGGTATATTTGCCCCGATATCTAAAATATCAAAGCAGCACAACACACTGGGCCACGAACAACCTCCGACACGAAACCACCACTCGATGACCTACAGCAGAATCGACCTCAGCCGCATCACCTCAAAAATCGATTCAGGTGACATCTCTCAACCAATAAATTTATACTTGATTAATAATAATAATATCGTTATTAATTAATTAATTAATTAATTTAATTAATAATATTTATTATTCACATTCACCATTGAAGGTTTGAGACAAAGCAAATTAGATTTGAGTGAACAGAGTAACACTAGTAGTGATATTGAAGTTAATGATCGGGTGTTGGTCGCCGGCAAGAAAATGGGCACCGTAAGATATGTCGGAGAAACTGAATTTGCTCCCGGTTCGTTCATCCATTCATTCATTCATTCATTCATTCATTCATTCATTCACATTCATTCACTCATTAGTCATTTTGTGTATAAAATTACTTTTACAACATAGTTAACCTACCATTGTCAGGATTATGGTATGGCATTGAGTTGTATCGACCCATTGGAAGGAACAATGGATCGGTTGATGGTGTTCAATATTTTAGCTGCCCCGCCAATCACGGTGTCTTTGCCCCTCCGTTTCGAATACAAAGGTCTTTATAGTTATTTTCAGTTTTAAAATTTTTGGTCAATTACTTATTCTATTATTTATTTATTTGTTATATACTTTTTTAAAAAGTGAAATTGTAAATTGCTACTTTAAAACGAGTCATCATTTTTTCAGGCTCGATGATGCCCACTGTAAAAAGATTCAAAAGTTCAACTTGTTCAAAACGCCAATAACAACCATAAGTGAGTCATTGTTCATTGTTTATTCATTCTATCAGAAATTTCAATTAACATCTAACTCTCTATTTGAATAAGTTTTTAAATATTGGTGTTTTAATAAGAATAAAACTTGATAAAGTTCTTAATATTTCTTCAAAAGATGAGTGCCAATATGAAGCCAGCCAAACAAAACTACCTCAAAAGTAGATATTGCAGTGTTTTAAACTATTTTATTTTGTTGTCATTTTTTCATACTACTACTATTTTATGTGATAAATTTGCATAACTCTTTTATAATGAAATTTGTATTATTATGATTTTAAAACTGAATTTTTCTACCTTTTAAATATACCTTAACATTACAAACTTTAATTTGTCATTCTGTCTACCGCATTGAAATAATTGTACACTAAGAAATCTTGACTATGTTGTTGCTTGTAATATCACTCAACGACATGTAATCAGCAGCAAATCGAAGAATGGAAATTCCAAGTGGTCAGCATCGTCTCCAACAACATCATCTGAAGCCATCCTCACTCAAGGCACACATGTCTTCTGCAATGGAGAAATAGGTTACTATTTGATTCCTGCAGTCTATTCATTTCTTAACTTACTACTCAGTACTTTTTAAAATCAAGTTTTTTGCACGACACGTGCATCGTACAAAGAATGAAGTCAGCATCTGCATGTATACAATTTTCCATCTGGTTAATGTAATAAGATGTTAATAAAAGCAATATTTATGAAGTGAGCACTATTTTGCTACTATTAAAGTAAGACAACAATAATAATAAATTACAATGACAATGTTCCAGGCATTGTGCACTACATAGGCAGTGTGGACTTTGCAGAGGGCATATGGCTCGGAGTTGAACTGAAAACACCAAGGGGCAAGCATGATGGCACTGTTCAGGGTAAAAGGTAGCAACGTGTTTCTAGATCATTTTTTTTATTAACCATTTTATTCTTTTTATTGATTTGAAGGTTAATTTAGTGAACCATACTCAGACTGTAATCTTATTATTATTTGATGAAACATTCTCATATAACGTTTGCAATTTCAGCTTGCATCGTAATTTTATCTAGAAAATTATTTTATAGCTTGTGCTGTGTTTTCAAATGAAATATGTTTCTACTAAGCCATTTCCCATGCTCAAAAAAATTACAATGCAGAAAAATTTTTTTCTCTCTGACAGATATTTCTCTTGTCGGCCAGGTCACGGCCTATTAGTTCGACCGTCAAAAGTTTACGTGCGTGGAATCAATGGATCGAAACTAATAACGGCAGATTAATTCATTTAAAATTATTTTTAGTTAATTTATTTTAATACGTTTTAGCTCAATTGTAAGATGTAGTATTAATAATGTAACGTAAGAGTAGCTAATTTATTTAATCAGCTTACAGCGAACAGTGAAATGACTACATTTATATATAAGGTTCTTAAATGTTTACTTTGTTAGTACAGCTATATTACCAATCTATCATATTTCTCATCTCCGTATACAAATAACAAAAGTGCTATTTCGTACTATAAGAGTTTATAATGCACAATCGTGATTTTATTGATGATTATTGCTGTGTGCGTGTTGTTTTTCTATTTTTGATAAAATGTGTTCAGCGCGTCTAAAATATGTTAATAAGAACTTTATCACATTTCCAATATTTTCGTTTTGTTGATGTTCTATCGTCATTAAGAGATGTGCAGTATATATTTTTGCAGACATATATATATAAATATATATATATATATATATACATATTTATTTATTTATTTCACATCGTGTTTGTCTGTTATGATCGTATCTATAAATTATTTTATACTCGCTTCTTGTTTATAATCAAAAATTTGTTCATCATTTTTAGTTGAAATTTGTTGACGTTTGTTTAAATATCTGTGTGACGCATTTATCAACAGTTTTACCACTTTCATTCGGTTAGGCTACATTGATGTGTCGTGCCATCGACTTTTAGTTGATGCAGGTAACACAGTTGTGGAAAAATTTATTTTCATTTGTAAATCACAGGTTATTCAGAACATGTATTTGTCTGTTAAAGATATTATTGTATCATATCATTGTCTCAGTTTTCTATTTCAACACTTGAGTTTTGTCCAAATTGTATTTAAATTTATACATTGGGAATCTAAATTGTGTTTAGATTTTCGTATTGGTCAATATAAAAACCATTCCCTCGTTTCAAGTTATTTTTATTTAAAAGAATTTTACTGAATTTTTTCCATAAAATCAAAACTAAGAAGGCAAAATATCGTTACGTTACGTTGTTGAAGTCAGTGGCAGAAGTTACATTCCGGGTGACAGAGCTGTCCACCAACTCCACACCTGCAGCCTCCGGATGTGTCGCCTCTTCCCTGTTGAATTTTTTGTTATCTCCCTTTATACATTTGATATAATTTTCTTAGTCTGTATTTTTTAGCGCTGATTAAAAATTGCACACATTGCTGTGTATGTGTAGAGCCTAGGTGCACGCAACCACCGCTTATTACGTTAGAATTATAGCCATAAAAGCATTTGATATGTGTAACCACGCTGTATTAGTTGAAAAATATGCCGACCAGTTTTTTCTGTGACGGTACGCGCACTGCGCACTGGTACGTCAAACTGGCACATTTTTAAAAAGTGTGGAAAAATCCTTTTTTTGTAATTAATGATTGCGCCGTTTTTTGGCGTGATAAGGAAAAAAAGTCATCATAGCTCCCTCGGCTAAAGTTTTGCTACATCAATCAACAATGAGTACCGACACCTATTTTTGTACATAAAAGCATTGGATGTGATGTGACATTTCTACTGCTTGCTCGATCAAGTTTTACATGATTGTTCAAATTCGTGCATTATCATGCGCGTGTAGCATAAATTTCTCCAGCGACGTACGAATGGATTTATCTGTGAGGAAATTATAAGGTACTCAACCTATAATCTACATGGTGAGGAAAACATAAAAATTGTTTTAACCGTAATAAATTTTTTCTATGAAGGCATATGGAAAGCGAGTTTTAAATTCATATAGACAGCTAACTTAGCTTTAGTTAGGGTTTGAAAGGCAAGATAAATGACGACAAAGGAACTGCGAAGATGTTAATACATTCTATAAGTGTCACCAATGAATTTGACAACAAACAGATTATTTTAATGTTTGGCCTCATTTTAAAAAAAAATCTCTTATTATATATTTGTTAAATTTTCAAAAACCTTCTTTCCCCATCTTGGCCCTTTGGTCGCCCAGCATAGTTGTAGGTTGCACTTCGGACAGTAGAGACCGTCACATCCGTCCATTTTTTCAATGACCACACTACAGTTTGGACATCTCATTATGATTCCTTCTCTAATTTTATTCTAAATAATTCAAATTTTTTATTGAGATAAATATACATCCTAAAGATAGATAATGCGGAGCATAACACTATATCAGAGTTGATATTATTACAATCATATTTCATTAGGATAATTCAAACCTTAACCAATTTATTGCGTGCGACGCTAAATTACAATTCACACGAAATATTTCATTAAATTAAATAACAATTATGACATACAAAAAACATAATCAAACGGCCAAATACTTTGATATAGGCTCGTTCATTTCTTAAAAATATTTAAAAAAAATAATTATTTTGAGAGGTAAGATAAATGTCGACGAAGGAAATTTGAAAATGTTGACAATACATTAAAAAACTGCTTTGACAACGGCAAACCTCAATTTCAAGTTCAGTCATCTTTAGGTTTTCATCCTGCGACTGTAAGGCTGTATATTCCAGGCAGGACATATTTTTATGGATGGCCCGACAACGCAGACAGTTGATGACTTTACAAGATGGACACAGCATGGAGTCGATGATGGTATCTTCTATAATCACCCAATAGTCACATTCAGGTGTCTGGCAATGAAAACTGTTGTCCGATTGGGCCTCGATCAGTTTGATGACTCGTTTCAAGTGAATGTTGTAGGTTTCTTCGCTGACCGACTGTAGATAATTCGTTCTTTTTATATAAAATAAAAAAAAATTTGTTTACTTTTATTTTATATTAAAGTAAACCACAATACGAACAACTCTTAGTTCCCTGTCGTAAATGAGGCCAGGACACTTGATGACACCATCGACGCACGGACATTGTAATTCTTCCGAGTCGTACAACTTCACATGATTCTCCAAGCAGTGTCTAAAAAGAAAAATTAATGCAACATGGCATTAGTTATTTCAATGTTAATAAACAGTGTCAAGAATATTTTGAGTTTTATACTTTAGATTTTAACTGATTAATTTTAAAATGAAAATATTTATTCTAACTTGCAAACGACATGTCCACAATAGCTGAGTATGACTGCATCATGTGGCATTAAATCATCGAAGCATATCGGACAGGTAGTGAAGCTGGTCATAAAAGTTTCATTGAAGAAGTTCTCATCATCTGTACCTTTTATTTTGACAATTTCAGAGCTTAAAGAATCATCTTGGTTCATATTATTCAACACGTTCATTGTGTTTGTAGTGATTTCGTTTACTGAAATATTACTTGCATTTTCATCAACTGTTTCTTCAGTGTCTGAAATTTCTAATTTTACGTTGGTTTTTAACTCTAGTATTGTTTCGTTGTATCGAGATAGAGATCGGAGAAGAAACTCAAATTTGTCCTTAGTGACATGGAGTTCTTTGTTCGAATGCATTGATGCAACTTGGCACTTGCTCAAATGTCCAATCAGTGCATTTATTTGTTTATGAAATGACAAATAAATATTTTCGATGTTTTTTATATCTTTTAATTGTTGATCAAGCGCAATTATGTTACTCCTGAATTTTTTTGACAAATTTTCAATTTTCACGAGCTTCGTTTTTGCTACTATGATTTCTTTTTGCAACTCATCAGTTTGATTGTATTCGGTGGTTTCGTTGGTCACATGCTCGATCTCACTGATTACAGTTTTGAAACATTTGGCAACTTTGCTCGATTCAACAATAAATTCTCTGACATCTTCCTCATTGAATGCATGTTGGTTCATAATGGCATTGCATTCCTCATTCATCTTGCAGTGAAGGTCATACGAGTGTTTGAGATCCAACGTGTCGACCTCATACAAATCCAATTCATCCTGGTGCAAATCAAACGTGGCTTGCAACTTGACAAAATTTTCATCCAAAAAGTGTTCTTCTATTGAAACATTTTTTATATTCAAACCGAAGTGTTCTAGCAAGTAAGTTACATCAAACAACATTGAAGAACAACTGTCTTTAATGTGATACATTTCGTTTTCGACTGCAAGAAATTTTTCAGACATAAGTTTTGCATCATATTTTATATACAAACTTGTGAAAGATTGAAGATTTGATGCACATTTTATGAATAAATTTCGAAGCATTTCAAGCATCGCGTTGAACATCTCTTCGTCGTATAATAAGTTCATGTAGATTAGGGTTGAATTTATTGGATCGGAGCATAATTTCAAGACGTTTGAAGCTTTTAAACAGTACTTTTCCTTCGAATTATCAATCAAGCGTTTCAGTAATATATTGAATTGTATAATGTTCAGTTTGATTCTTGAGTTAAGTAACATTTCGACATTCAGCAGATCTAAAAGTTTTCTCATCTTTGTGATTTCTATCTTTGTCTGATCTTTTGCCAGCCACAATAGTTCACGAGTTTCATCGAAACGTAAAATTTTATCTCTAATATCGTTTGGGTTGAAGCTGTGTTTTATGTTTAGATTTTCTGAAATGTTTTTGAAGTTTTCAAATAAGTCTGTAATATCGCTGAAATAAAACTTTTTGTTTTCAAAAAAATAACATTGTTCTTCTAATTCAGTTAACTTCAGTTGGCTGGCTGTCAATTTCTTCTGCAGTTGTTCAATTGCTTTGTTGATTTTGAAATCAGATGAATCAATTATTGGTATAGAACTTGCAGAATATTGAAGTTTGAAGTCGAGTAACTCTTGATATGTAATCGTTTGATTTGAAGAATGCTTATTTAATAAATTGTAACTTGTTAAACGAGTGTGATACTCATTCTGCAAGATCATTATTTCGTTTGATTGTTGAAATGATCTGTTGTGTGTTTCGTACGATTCTAATAAATATCTCATGCTGATCTCCTGCGATTGTTTCAAGTTCTCACATTTGGCAGCAGTTATATAAAATAATAGTGAAACGTCAGCAAGATTTTTTACTTTTTCTGAAATTTTTTCGAACAGAGAATCATAGGTGTTGAAGAGAGCCGCGTTTCTCTCGTCATTAGATGTCTTATTTTGGTGGTGATATTTGTTCACATCTAACCTCATTCTTAAAATATTTTTGTGGATGGCACAGAATGTTTGAAAGTCGTCATCAAATGAGTCATTAGCTTCCTTAAGTAGCATTAAACATTCCATTTTATTTTTTATAGATTTTAACAGTTTGACAATTTTTTGAAGACATGAAGATATTTTTATAAAATTTGTGAATGGTTTGTTAAAAGATCTGTGATTATGATGCGACAGATGTTCTGAGTACTGGACTACATTCCTCGCGAGATGTGATAGATTTTTCAAAAAAACATTATTTACAACGTTGAATTCAATCCTTGTGCCTGCCGTGAAAAACGAAGCCAAATTCATCATTTCATTTGTGAACTTTGAGCATTTGTAGTTTACTTCTCTTATGTTTACCTCTCTTACATCTGCCGATTCCAACGTACCTTCAAGTGCTGAAGCCAGAGCAGCTACTGCTGAGATGCATGATATTTTTAATTTTGCCACCATGGCTTGTTTGCTGACGAACTTTTCATTCAAATCGTTTATTACCATGGAGAGGCGCAAATTTTCATCGAGGAGCAACGTCTCCAAAGTTTCATCTTCCTCCTGCAAAGCCTGCTGCCTGAAACTTGAAATATCATGTTCGAAAGTTTTACAAGCGGCACAAGTTTGGATTTTATTATTGTTGCTACGGAGAGGATTTGGTCTGTGAATTACGAATTTAATGAAATTAAACATAAATTAATTCTTCTTGTTAAAGATAGAAACAATGAACCGGCTTTTATGATATTTTCAATTAATTTATTACGACAACCAACATGATCGAAAAACGATTATGATTTTAAAAAAATACAAAATACAAATAAACGATACAATCTCAAATGCATTGATTGAAAAAAATCAACTCTTACCTCAGCCAATCATGTATAAAATTTTTCAAAACATCCATGCTTCGCTAAATCTTACATTAGAGTTTTATTAATTTCATGTCAACGTCTAATATACAATATGAATATGCATGTATGTGTGTATTTGTATGTATGTATGTCTGTATCATATGTGTGTTTGTATGTATATATGTATCATACATATGATCATTTGTGTATATGTTTGTTTTTATATTGTTTATATAAGTATTATGTAACCATCTAACTATGAAGCCTAACAATGCTTCAACGCATTTGTGCAGCTAGTCATAGCTTATCCTTCGACGATTATTTGATTATTTTGAAATCTAACCGCTATTTCACACATCTACTTACACACATACACACACACACACACACACACACACACACAACACACACAACACACACACACACACACACGCACACACACACACGCACACACACGCAACAGACGCATATGTTATTACGCTTGTTAGTATATATATGTAAATGTTAGCATACACACATTATTTATTAAAAAATTCAATACTTAAATTTTCCATCATTTTAAAATAAAAAGAATATTTTTCCGATAAACATCCGTCTTAACAATTGAGTAAAATGCGTTTTTGAAATTTTGTGAATATTTTTACGTGTAGTTGCCTCAGTTGAATTTCAAATTAGTGGTAGATACTAATTAATTTCTATTTATTTTTGGCATCTGTTGTATTGATTAACTCTCGTTCAACGTATGTAACATTCGACTGCTCTCTACAAATGTTGATAAATTACACACATACACCATCTATTGACTTTTTGTGAGGTGTGTGATATAAGATGAGTAATTGAATAATCCAATTCTATTGAAATGTAATTTAATTCTAACATCCATGCCATGCTAAGCACTTATTAATTTGATCGTACTCGTGAACGCCTGGTTGAAATCTTCTCTAATTTTAAATGGTAGTTACTCGTCTGAAATCAAAAGTGGATAATTAAAATAAATTCTTACAAGTTTGAACACCGAGCGAGCAAATTTAAAATGATTAGAAAGAGTCGTTGGAGTATTGAAAAAGGAAATGGTTGAAAATATGTCGTGAAACCTTTTGTGGAGAGCGTTGCAATTATCGTCATGGATATTGGATACATTAAATAATATATTGTATTTAACGTAAGTAGTTTTTCAAGTTTAACGTTCATTATGACACTATGTTATTTTTATCTAATAATTTTAGCCTAACACAAATTAGAATAAAACCTAAAACTTAGGGCCGTGTTTATTTTTTGTGTTCATTTAATACAGAGATGCAGAGGTGGGCAAACTACGGTGGCGAAACCATTTTATGCGGCCCGTGAGGCCTTGTTTGACCAAAAAAAGATCCCATTACGACCATATAAAAAGGTCGTCAATCACATATTACGAGATAAAAAAAAGGTCCAAAAAATTTGCTGTTTGAATACATATTTGGCCCTTCAAATGCCAAAATATTCTCAATACGGCCCTCACAACAAAAAGTTTGCCCACCCATGCTTTATATAGTTATTCATTATGATAGCAATAACGCCTTATAAAACTTTATTACCAATTAATATAAAAAAATTATTTCAAATAAAACAACACATGAAATGAATAAAATTTACAATAATGTGATTTATAATTTATTTCAAAATTTTCCTTCAATTATTTAAATCAAAAATCATTTGAAAGGACTTAACCAAAAAAAAGACAAAGAAACAAAAAAGAAAACCCAATTTTGTAGCACTTCTAACCATTTGTTCGTATTATCAGTGATATTGTAAATAGTATATTTATCATTATTATCGGAAAAATTATTTAATTAATGATAAAAAAGGAAATTAGACAAAAAAAAACTTAATTGAAAAAGCACTTATCGTGAACGTCATGTTCGTATTTGTTTGTATGTGTCTGTATCATGTTTGTATGTGTTTGTATCATGTTTGTATGTGTTTGTTTGTATCATGTTTGTATGTGTTTGTATCATGTTTGTTTTTTGTATTGTATGCGTGATGCGTGTGTGCGCGCACAAAACAAAAAAAAATCACTAAACATAAAAAGGAGACAATACAAAGTTATTGTCATTTATTTTTTTCTAAACTTTAATTTAATTCCAGCCATGGCTTGCCTATGTTCAAGTAACTCAGATCTCACCCACCTACGTTCAACTAACTCAATCCCTAGCTTACCTATTGCTTGTTAACACAGCTCATTTTACACTTTTTATTTGCGATTTTATATTACCAATATAGGAAAAATTAAGATGACAAATTACAACAATATAACAGCTTATTAGCAGTTATATTGTATGTACATGTGTGCATGTATATGTGTATGTGTGTTTGTACGTAGATACGTACGTATGTATGTTTTTAAATTAAAGTATGGGTTTGTATATTGTGTATGTGTGTACGCTTGAATTATTATAGAACTTTTTAAACAAAAAATTAAAAAAAGTGAACGGCATTTAGTGAGAAGCTCCCTCGCCACGTCAAGGCAGCCGTTCATGAGGAAGATGAAAAAATGTGCACGCGTCTCAAATTAGTTATATAAATAATCCTATTTACCTATTCGGTTGCCTTAGCTAATAACGTCTACCTAAACCTCATCTTACTTATTCATTACAATTAAGCCATAGCTTACTTAGAATTAAAAAATTAAAGGGCCCAATTCATTAGCCAATCGGCCACACCCCACCACCTACATAAAGCCTTGGGCTCCAACTTAGTAATAATAATGTAAAACTTAAACCCTAAATCTATTAATGAATATGTGTTACAACGTAGCCTTAACTTACCTATTAATTACATTACGGCCCTAGCTTACCTAACATTACAAAACTCAAAAGCCCAATTCATTTGCCATTCGGCACCCACCCCATCACCTACATTATGCCTTGGGCTCCAACCTAACAATAATAATGTAAAACTTAATAATTAACCTACCTATCGATACACTTACAGCGTTTTAATTTACATTACAAGATTGTTCCTATCATTACATTATTGCCCTTAACTACCTATGAAATTAAATTACTCTCAACCTTAGTAATAATAAATCTAAGTGATGTGTTGTGAAAATAAAATTACGCTCAAACACTAAGATATGTATTTATGTATGTATCTTTGTGTGTGTGTTGAAATACGCTAATGCGTGTAATGTGGGTGCAAGAAAAAATAGAAGCGATAAACTTACGCGCCTACCCTATTTAACTACCTATTCATGTCTAGTTAAATGTTTTTACAGGCTGTAATGAAATGGATGTAATATGTAATAGTGTCTGTCAAATGTTATGTATCTAAGGGTTAAACATAATTTGTTGAAAACGATACTGTCATTAACATTAACGAGCTTTTTATTTAAATTTTTGTTTACGAATTAAATTTTTTTATTAAACCCAAATTAAAAATAAATTTCCCAAGTTTAATATGTTCCACAATCATGGACAGTAATTTAAATTTGAATTGAAGCAACTATTGACGTGAATACCGGTTTGAAATAAAAACCAAAATCTGCTATATGGAATTTGTTTAGAATAAAAACTGTGAATTGGATGAGATTGTGACCAATTTAGGAGACAATAAATATGTATGTTGTATGAGAATGAATGAATGAATGAACAAATGAATGGATGGATAGATGAATGAATGAATAGATGGGTGAATGAATGAAAAAACAAATAAATGAACGTACGAACGAATAAAAAATTGAATTAGCGTATAAACAAACGTCGGAAAAACTAACGCACGAACATTACTACCAAAAAAAGGTTATGTTAAAAAAATTTTTTTTTTCTCCCAGTCAATGGGTCGAAAAAATTTGCTATTTAAACATATGCGGCCCTTCAAAGATCAAATAGTTCTCAATGCGGCCCTTCAAAAGTCAAATAGTTCTCAATGTGGCCCTCACAGCAAAAAGTTTGCCCACCCCTGATTTAATGCATGCGTGGTTTCTTTTGCGAGTTGAACTCAAAAATTCAAATTACTATTGATAAATTTTGATATGTAGATATCAGCAGGAGCAGCATGAAAACATGCTAAATGTTATTTTCATACCCTCTTCAACATATATTCAAACACTTTTACAAATAAAATTTTTGCTTGCAAAGTTCCTTTAATTCAATAACACTGTTACGTTAAAATTTTCATTTTTTCAATTTCATAATTTTATTTAAAATTTGTTAATTTAATTTATTTCAACACATTTTTGAGTTTATTAAGAAATGTGATGAATATACTAACGCATGAACTCATACCACTATACGCTGTCATTACCTCATCCGTGAGCTATAAACAGTATGAAAGATAATTAATGTTTACATGGCTACGTGCATATGATGTGATCTATATATACCTGCCTATGTATGAATGAATGTACCAATCTATCTTCATTTCATTTTATCATCCGCGTTGTTGTTTCATAGTGCTTTTCTCTTGTGCAGTGCTTTTTTAAATGTTGCAGAACTCGAGTGATGACGATGAAAGTTTTGCTCCTGACACGAAAGTGACGAATTTGATAAAAAGTGTTTCAAACAGTCATGGAAACATCAAGAAAAGTAACACATGTAGATTCATTAAAGAATCATCCGCCTTTAAAATGGTAGAAAATGAAGTTTTGTTGGTCAAAGAGAAGAGAAAGCAGGAGCTGGAAGAGATGAACCTTGTACAGTTGTACGTTTTCGTTGCCAGGTGCATCGCCTATCCTTTCTCCGCTAAGTATAGGTAACTACTAGAATATTTAAAAAAATACTTTTATAGAATTGGAAAATTAGTAAAAACAAAATAACAAATAAACCGCAGGTACGACATAATTCACAAACCTCCAAAACTGACAAACCTTCAACTGATGCTGGCTCGAGAGAGATTTCAATCGTTCCTCAATGGAGATTTGAAGCTGTCGACAGATGAAGCGTTCACGACAAATATAGCAAAGTTCAACGACGTCATATTAAAGAGGGAGGAAGTTACAAATGTCGTTAACGGACCCGGCTGGACTATGACGGATTTTTCAGATTTGTTCAAAAAAGAGATTACTCAGTACGTGGCTCGTCTGCCTGAAATAAAGGGCCTCTCAAAATCAACTCTCATCGACAACTGGATGAACAAGTTTGAGTTTTTATTCAAAGGTGAAAGTGATAATAAAAAAGTTTTTGTTCATTTGAACACTGTCCTAAAATGCATTACAACAAAAATGAACAAGGATCAGCTATTTGAACTTTTTCAAAAAATTCTCGGAATAAAGAAACAACAGCATTGGACGCTCTACAAGTTGCTACAAGTAAACAAATTTTCATGGATTCTGATTATAAATAAGAAATACTAAATTTAAAACTGCTAAAAAACTAAAAATTATTGTTCAAATTAGGAATGCGTGTTTACAATTTTCCCAGGTTGATAACACTGATGAGCAGGCAGCTCAAGTCAGGAGGGAGCTAGATTACAGGATGAATGAAGTCAAAGAACGGCAAAAGGTAATTATTTTTTTGAAATCATCGGGCATTTGATCATATCCGCATTTATTTAATCGTGTTTGCCTGTAAGCCTAAAATTTTTGAATGTTCCTAATATAATGATTTTAGAAAGCAGATGGCAACACAGAAATGGACAGCTGTTACATTGAAGAGTTGAAACTATCGATAGAATCGCTGAAAGCATCACTGCAGAACGTTCCAGTGTTCAAGGACGAAAATAATAAGGAGCTCTCTAAGTTTAAAATGGTTTCAGAAGATGAGACGATAGAAAAAAACGATCTTGTTTTGTCATTCAAAGTGCAAGTTAGTCTTCATGACATTTTAATAATGATTTTAGTAGTTGAATAATTGCAGTGGTTTGTCCACAAAAATAGGATAAATAAATACGATGCATTCAACAAATGCAGGTGGTGATAAAAGGTCTTCAAGGTTTTGTGGAGGATAAAAAAGACAAATTAATTTTTTGCACTTTTGAGATGGACGGTTGTGATAAGTTATCAACGAACAGGGTTGATCCTTCAAACATGAGGTTCGAGTTTGTATGCATTTATAACATGAATTTGAATATTTCAATAAACTTCTTTAACCAATCATTTAAGCATTTTTAATTTATTTTAAAAATCGTTTCCAACTATTTAAAGTTTTATATTTTATTATGTAATTGGCTTTGTTGTCTTGATTTTGAAAGTGATGATTTTTTGTATATTTTGCAGTTGGGATGACCAAGCCGATTTTCTAACGAGTAGTCCGCTGCCGAACGTACGAATCAGGCTGTGCAGGGAGAGTTCTGGCGTCTTCAACATCAACGATAGGGAACTTGCAAGAGTAGAGATCCCATTTTTATTGATTTTATTTATTGGATTTCAATAAATTATTTTTTAACAAAATAAGGCTTCCAGTTGAATCAATTATTGTTGTGGTATTTATTAGCGCAGAAATTTACAAATGCGAAACAAATTTATTTAATTTTCAATAATAAATTGAATCGTCAAAAATTTGAACAATGACAAATAACCCCAAGAAGTTGAAACTAATTACAGCAACGTAAAATTATGTTGAAGGTAGATTTGCTACTGAAATTATCCAACACCAAAGCAACGGAAGAATGGATGGAGATGCAACAAGTGTACAAGAAAGATCCCGTCAGCAAGAACGTCCTCAAAATAAAACTGTTGACGCATGTCGAAAAACCCCCGAACGTCAAACATTTTGGGTCAGTATCTGAAATAAAACCAATTTTGTGCAATCAACTTGTGTACAAATGGGTTTATAGTCATCTTACTATTCATCCGCATTGCATTCCTAAATGTTTTGTTAAAGTATTCAATCAAATTAGTTTTGTACAGATATGCAAAAAAGCAAATTTTCGATAATTCATTGCAGCTATCTCTTTGCTCTAGGAAAAACCATTTGGAAAAAGTGGAAAAAAAGATATTTTTTACTGATACAGGCTTGTGTATATTTTGAAAGTTTTGTCGATGTGCTATATTAATTTCAAACTAGCAAATTCCTAGCTTAAAAAACGTTTTTAAATACTTTAATTATTATTCAAGACAAAACAAGAATAACTAAAATAAGATATGTTATTTTTGTGAAAGCAGCATAAACATGCACGTTAATATTTTTTCTAACAATTTTAAAATAAAGACTTTTCCAAAGAGGAAAACTTTTCAATTCTTCAGGTATCTCAGTTCACGTTTGTCCTGTGCAGCTATCGCGAGAACAAAACTCAACCAGATGCCGTCCTGCCTCTGCATGGTTTCATCGTCGACTTTTGTGGCGGTGTGCCAGGTAAGATGAAAATGACTAAAAATTTGTTTTTGCAATTGCTAAAATATTTTTTAGTTTCTTCGAAAAACAACGATTCAAACTATTCATACGTTCTCCAAACGTTTGTTACAAGGTACAGACCTCTCGAACTTGTACCTAGTGTTGACGAAACAGGGCTTCGATGAAATAATATTAACGTCCAGTAGTAACGAGAGTGACCTGATGCCCTGGTTGGATGCAATCTACCGAGCCACTGGACAGCCCTTCAAACCTCAGTTGCCCACTGAGGCTGACAAACAGGATACAGCCGTCTATAGATCAGGTTCGGGCTGATAGCTTTGATCATTTTTCAATTTTATGATTTTAATTTATTTTCACAAAAACTTATTAATGAATGGCTTTTCCATTTTTAAAAACAGTTTATGGTTTAGTAAAAATTAAACTGCAATCGCGTATATCTTATTAATAATAGTTTGTAAATGTTACAATTAAGAATCCCAGCGTATAAAACGAAAAAAATTGCAAGTCATGGTCGACGCCTGTCCTTCTAAATTTGATCACGAGGAGCTGTTTGTTACTCTGCAGCGGAAGACCATTGAATATCGTTTGAGTGATTCAGATATATGTTCTTCAGTAATTTTACAATAGTTTTTTCACTAAATGCTCAAACTTTTTAAAAACTTTATAAAGCTTTGTGTCATGTTTTTTGAAATTACATCTTTAATTAGTTGATAAAAAGTTCTAACTTTTTATAAACTGTTTTAAAGTTCAGAAAGAGGCATTTTAATTAAATTTTCAATTTTTTTTTCTAACAAGGGATGGTTGAGCGCCGATCAGATATACGTACTCGATGAATATTGCGCCAGATATGGTGTGCGTGTTTTTACCAGACATTTGTCTTACATAGAAGTCAGTCGAGCATATATATTTCAATGTCCTATCGGAGTTTTGTTTCTATTAACATTTTTGACTGGTGGTTGTAGAATTGTCGTTACTATACAACAAAGCCAATTTTTATCCTCTTGTTTCTTGATGTGTTTCCATATATAATGACTTGAATGGTCTTCCAATCCAACCAGATACTCATGGACCATGCGTACTCCAACATCAGCATCGACCCATCGCTTCTCTACCAAAAGTTCGCCTTCTGTATGGCGCATGTTCACGGAAACAAGTTCGTTCACTTTGTGTTTTTGGGTTCAAAGAACTGACATTTAAAATTGTAAATTGGTTTATTGCATAATGTTAAAATTTTTTGATATGAAACAGTATTGAAAATCTCTTTACAAGGTTGGACCAAACGTACGCAGCCACGATAGATGAAAAAAAAAAATTTCTGATCGTTGCGATCAAACTGAAAGATTTTTTAGAATACCAGTTCATTCACTTCAGGTATACGTGAGCTTTATTTATTCAATTCAATTTTAAAATTGTTCATTCAATTTACAGAACTTGCTTTCCATTTGGGAGGCCGAAGGACTCTTTGAAAATATGCTTATCTCTATACGAAAGTGTAAGTCGATTTTTTTTCATAACAATGTTACAATTGATGATGAAAGTATGTTTGAATACTTTTTGTAAAAGATTTCAATGAATTTTGTCTATTTCGCAATAATCCAGTAACCCACAGAAGACATTAGTTTGTTATTTCGAATCATGAAGCTTGTCTTTTTCTAAAAAAAAAAATCAGCTCATGATCTCTTTTCATTTAAATTGAAGTCACTAGTGACATTGAAATGGTGACACACTCTTTTATTACACAGAGACAAATTGACACAAAGTAAACGAGACAAAAATTTTAGAAAGATGTAAAAATATGTTATGACAAAATATAAAACAAACCTGGAACAACAGGATAGAACTACAGCCGTCGACATTAATGTTTTACTGTGTCTCCTTGTCTATTAGTTTCGTAGAGAGTAAACGGAAATCATGAGAACAAATTTTACAAGTTGATTTTTTATGATAAAAGTTTAAAATTTGAAAAATATTATTTTTGCAGATATCAAGAGAGGTTGCTTACTTTGAAGATCTGCTTGATTCCAACAGCAAGGTATATACCATTTAATTTTGGAAAAGAATATTGATTTTAAATCTATAAAAATAAATTCTTTTTGTTTAAAAATGTTAATTCAAGAGTATATTCTGATTAAATATGATTGAAGGATCTGTTCGAGTTTTTTTCGCGAAACCGTACTTTTTTTTATTTAATTAATTTCATAAATTTTGAAATATTTTGTATGAAAACACGGTGACATTTGAATGTGACTAAATTGGTTTTCGTAATAAAAGGACACCAAGCATTCAGTAGATCCCATATCGGCTGAAAAGATAGTAGATGAATTGAAGAGGTGTATATCTAATTCGACATACTTTGACTACATCCACGTTGCTCAACTTTGTGGCATTGAAGGTTGTATATTAAACATAAAAATTTTTATATTTTAAATTATTCACTGAAGGTTCTTGCAAAACATTTTCCAATATTTTTCTTTTGAAAAACGGAATAAACTTATTCATCAGATGAAATCCTATTTCAAAGTTTTAACAGTCAACCTTCCGAAAAAAATTTTTATAAAACAAAAATTTTTTAAACAGAGGCATTGTTCAGTACTAATTTTGAGAGAAACCGTACTTCATTTCTGGCTCTGGCGGAACATTGCATTCAAATTCAACAGCAGATATTTTGGTTTCATGCAGACGTAAGAATAGTCTTGCTATCAAATATTCATTTTGGCAGAAACAATTAGGAACATTGTGTAACGTAAAAAATATGGTGCCCATTTTTTGCATATTTATCAATGATGTCATCCATAAATATGTTTCACTTTTTACCCAAATAGGAGAGTTTACTTCATGTCGAAAATCATTGATTCATTTTATATTAAAATGGTTATAAAATGTAATTACTTTTTATAAAATAAATTTTGTAAAGAGACAAATTGGCTACTGCAGTAGATTATTAAAAAATTTATGTTCATTGCATTCTGAAAATAATTTATTCAATGACGTTAATTAAAGTTGTGTTGAAATGTTTAAACTGTCCAGGCTTTTGTATCATACAAGGACATTCTGACGGAGAATGGAGAACTTTTGTGGTCACTCTTCATACTCGATTTTCATCAATTCACGGACAAACACCCTCTGACGGAACTGCTGTGGAATTTATTCTCCCTCTTTAATCTCTTAAACCAATATTTCTCCTCGCAATGTGACGTATCACTTATATAGTTTACAAAATATTTTACATTTTTTTTTTGATAACCTGCTTACATGTATACTTAACAAAATATTTTAAATTATTTTTTATAACCTACTTATTTAAAAACTTATTCAGCATACTTGAATCAAAGAGAATCTCATAAAGAACTGTGCAAAATATTTGCCCCCATTGTCCTTCACTACCTGGAAAGCATGCACCAATCGATCGTTTATTCTCTCCGTCTTAATTTTGATAGAGAAACGTGGAAACCTCTCGGGTATGTTATAGATCGATCTATCTTAATTAAAAAGGAACATTTTTTGAACTTAATTTTCTAAATGAACATTTAAAGAGGAAGCTGTTCAACAACAGAAGGAATTTTTTGGAAACTTGAGAGCCTCAGGAATTTCATTCGGGATTTAAACTGGCCTGACGCGCAATTCAATGAACATCTGGTGGAGGTGCTTCATAAGCTAAATGAAGACGTTATGAAACAAACTTTTGACAAGTTAGCTAACAACTGAATTCAATATTTTCAAAATATATTCACTGAAATTTCCGACAAAACGTTTTTAATTGATTATTTTTCTTAATACGTCTCTAGAATTTCATTTTTTGCCGTTACTATGTTGAAAAAGTTGGAGAACGAGAAACAAGCAATCAACTCAGAAACTTACTTTCTTCTCGTCAACACTGCAAATAAAATTGTTGATCTAGTGAGAGAATTTTTAACTTTAAAACTTACAAATATGACTTTATGACCAGCGTACATTAATTAAAACATAAATGTTTTCCACTGAGTATAGTTTTCATCATATCCAGCGATAATTAGTCCCTACGAACAACTTTCGAAGGATTTGATGGAGTGGACGTTTTCAAAGGTTTCTAAAAAATTATTTCATTTTACAAAACAATTGAGAAATTTTCTGTTTATTTAATAACAACAGATATTGGAGAGCTTAAAATGTCTGATGAACAAGCTTCAAAGATTTGATCCCAATTGTTTTTATTCCCCTCTGTTCACTTTGAAGGTTTTTATTGACATTTTATATTTTTCGTCAAACTGTTTTGTGAGTTTTATGATATGGTGCTTGTGCGTTTATATACTAATTTGTCATGCAATTTGGATTGTACATTGTACAATTTGCAGACCAAAATTTTATTTGAGGCAAATAATAAAAGATAAAAATAAATAAAAATGGTTGAATTTAACTTCATAGACACCCTCGAAAGATACTGGTAAACCTTATACCGATTTTCTTGAAATCTGCTTGCAACAATTTTCAAGATTAATTGCCGATAAAAAGTTCTTAGCAGAACATCTAGAGGTATATATGCTTTTTGGCAAAGTTCATTGCTTCCTACTAGTAAAAATTTAAAATGTTCAATAGATATTTTATACACGACACGTTAACATGATAATGAGTTGGTTAGTTGAAAGAATTGATGTGAAACTTCATGTCTTCCAGATCACTGTCCTAACTAAATTGTGGAACGTTTGTAGATTCTTTATTAATATTCATACTTGAAAATATTAACTGAATGTAAAAGTGTTTAGCTGAATAAGAACCATCGTTAAATTATCAGAAAATAATTCAAACGTTTAAAAACGTCCTGCCTCCGAAAATTATTCAAACGAAGGACTTTCAAACGATAACTATGCGGCTAGCGGTTACTATCCATTTATTCATTCATGAATCATGTGTGACTTATTTTTTATTTATGATTTTGATTTATTTTTAGCGCCTAAAAATTTTGTTTTATCTAGCTTCGTCGGGTTTCTTGTAAAATAAAACTGAATAAACTTTTGCTTAAGATGAACTCTAAGCTTCTATTGCTACGATGACACAAATAGTTAAACAAAATAAAATTCAATAAAACTTTAGCGATTACATAATGTATACTAAATTATACAGAAGTTGTTCGTATTTATCTTAAATAAACTGTTCACATTAACGGTGAACAAATTAAACGAGTGTCGAATTATTAAGTTTGAAGAAAATGACTTGTTTTTCAAACAGGCTGAAGAGGACCATGTCTCAAAACAAGAAGAAGAATCCTAACTCATCAAAAAACATTAATTTTCCATTTTATTTTTATTTGTTCAAACTCGCGGCTCAAATTTTTTTTATGATTTAGAAACTGTTTGGACATTAAAAAACGGATAAAAATTTTTCAAATGTCTTCACTCAAAATAGATTAAAATATCTATTTCATTAACTGCTTTCAATAGCGTGTTTGTTGTTAAGTAAACCTCCACATACATTATACTCCGCTAATTTTTACTAAATTCGTCATTCCGCATGGAAGATGAAACCGACCATCCATGTGAACATGAGATTATTGGTCCAATATGGGCTTCATGGGCAAATGATTACCCTCATGGGTGTTTTGTGGGCAAAATGCGGGTTTTATGTGTATAGGAAAGCCTATATTGGCTCCACAAAGGCTCATTAAGGGTTGTGTAGGCTTTTGCAACTATATAAAATTCAAAATTTTGTGACATTTTATTATTCCATTGTAATATTTAATGAACATTTTGAATAAAAATTCTAAATATAATGCTTTTTTCAATAATTAATAAAATGGACAAGGTTTCTAAAAATTATATTGGACAACCATGGGTCCCTTATGGGCTATCTGGGCTAGTAGCCAAAAATTAAAATATGTGATGATTCAAAGCTAAATGTTTTTTATATGTTATGGTATACTATGAAATGTTTTAAACTTATGTTTTTATCAACTTAATTTGGTCTATTTTTATGACTGTTGTTTTATTTCTTTTAAATTCTAGGACCTAAACGCCCCGGTTTACGATCGTCTTCTTTTTCTCGCTTTTTCTTAACTCGTGTTAAACACTCTTTTGCCAAATCTGCTTTTGCTTTTTCTGGTCCTTTTCTCTGGAACTCTCTACCTACTTCTCTGACTACTTCTCCATCACTTGCGAAGTTCAGAGCGGATCTCAAGACCCATCTGTTTTCAAAATTCATTGAGGAGCGCTGTTGTACATCGCGGAAATAGCGCTTTATAAGCTAATTTATTGATTGATTGACATCGCTTTATTTTGCCACGCTTTATGTTTACTTTTCAATACTAACTCGGAAATTTTGATCGTGTTCCTTTGTTCCTTTTCATCGCGTTAAAGTTGATATATCAGCGTTAAAAAATTAATAAATTATAATTATATAATTTATCAGTTATTTTATTCAATTGTTTTGAACTGCCTTGGCGTGCTGAATACTGATAGAAAGGTAATGATTTAATAAATTAAATAATTTTTTTGTGATCTGAATGCCCCTTTGATTTGTTCTTTGTTGTGTTATTAACCTTAAACTTAACTTTGTTAATATTTTAATTTATTGTATAATATTTTATTTTATTTTATAGTATCATAACTTAGACAAAAGAATAAATAAAAAATGGATTCTTTGAATTTAACTTTGTTAATATTTTAATTTATTGTATAAATAATATTTTAATTTATTTTATTTTATAGTATCATAACTTAGACAAAAGAATAAATAAAAAAATGGATTCTTCGAATGATTATAACAAGCGTACTTTATCTAGACAAGACACATAAAGAGGAAGGTGGAAGATTTTTTTAATAAAATTCCTATGAAAGAAACAAAGAAACAAATATAGCATCATTAGTTGATCAAAATAACAAGCAAGATTGCACTACTAGGAACATCAATAATATTGATGCTAATGAAAATTATGAAAGGTACAACGATCAGCTAGAAGAATCTTTTAGTCTGCCATCAAAAATATTAAAATTCCAAGATTCTGATAATGCTAATGATGAAAGCTCCAGTTTGTTTATGTATAATATAGTGAAAGTTCTAATAATATAGAAATTTCAAGCTTATCAACCAGCACGTCATCATCTAGCAACCTAAGAACTTTCAAAGAGCATCTAGCTACATGGGCTGTACAATATAAAATTAGCCAAAGAGCACAAAATGCATTATTGAAAATTTTTTATGAGTTTGGATGAAGTAATAAGAAGAGTGATGTCTCATAATGAAAAATGATGTAGCCTTTGGATTCAACATGGTTGGGAAAAAAGGGAAAATACCATTTGGAAGTTCAAAATTATTCGAGATTGTATACAGTAAGTTTAATTTAAAAACCATTTTCTTCAATTTGTTTTAGTTCAATTTTAATATTTTTTTCCTTAGTATTCATTAATCTTTTTTTATTAAAGTTATTTTTTTGTCTTGCCCGGTTCCAGCCATTGTAATCCCCACATTTCTCCAAGGCTGAATCCCTTGGTAGAGTCTACCAAGGGACTCAGCTTTGGAGAACATGAACCTGTAGTAGCTACAATAAACATATGGAGTACTCCATGTTTATCTTAGCTACTGAAGGTTCATCTCGGATAGCTGACTCCTAGCCAACTCAGCCTTACATCTTTTCGGAATAAATTTATGTTAATAATTTTTGTAAATAATTTTTTTATTCATATAACAGGATCAGTCAAAAAATGCTTCAATTGGAGAGGTCATGAAAAGAGATGTGGAGTTAGCAGTGGCAAAATGGTTGACTGGTGCTCGAGACAGATGGTAGAAAGGCATTTCGGTTGAACAAATCAAATTCATCTGTAAGAACAAATGAAGGAAATTTTTCAGATGAGGCATCAGATGAAGATGAAAATTATAATTGTGCATAAATGAAATTTTTTATACTATAACATTTTATTTTTAGTATTTATAACCTGACTTTCTCTTTTAATTATTTTTTTGAACATTGAACATGTAGTATTTTTTGTTGTGGAAGTTTTATCAAAATAAAATATACTTCAAAAAATCCAACATGTGTGTGTGCATACTTTTAAGCCCATTTAGCCCACGTAACGCCCGTTTACATTCTCTTATTTAGCCCATGTAAAGCCCGTTTACATTCTCTTATTTTCCCACATGGGTTCCACGTGAATTGGACGGTCATTTTGCACGGGCAGCCCACATGGGGCCTATATGTCAGCCCACCTGTGACCTATATAGGTCCCATCTTTCATTGTTCACTGGGATGTGTTACATGCTGCATACTGTCCAAGAAGTGAAGTCTACATACATAGTTGAAATTTGGAGTAAACCATGGATATATATAATATATTTATATCCATGGAGTCAACATCAAAATGATAAGTTTATTAAATTATTTCTAGAATTTGAATATTACCATAATTGTCTTCGCTCACTAAATAGTACGGTTCCACTTTTCAACTTAGCTTGAACTTGAATATATCTTTTAGAAACAGCCATTATAAGAATATTAAACACAAAAACATTCCTTTTTTTACATGTATGCCATGTGTGTATGGATTTTACGGTATCCATCATTTTTGTAGTACATCACTTTTACGAACCTTTTTACTTTTCATCAGTTTCGGCAATTTCAATCCACTATCTTCTTTACAATCTAAGTACTGAATTGCAACAAAAAAGCATACCGCTCACAAATTTTTATAGAGATGCAACGCGACGAGGATTCACATTCAACAAGTGGCGGCCATTCAAATGTCCTCGAGCAAGAAATCGGTCTGGCATCGCAAGCTTTTGACGAATTTAGTAAATCAAATTACGAACAGAGTGTCAATCTTCTCTCCAAGCTGCTCACTTTAAAAGGCAGTGATAAAAAAATTTTTCTCAATATGGCCGTTGCCGAGTACTACAAATCTGGCCAGACCAAAGTTAATCAACTTCAAACATCTCTCCAAGATATAGTTAAAAAAGTTTGTTATTTTTTTATGTTATAACAAAAATAACATACATATTTGTTTGATAAATATTAATTTATCAATTATGTTATAATTATAACAATATTAAATTACTTATGTTATGTGGAAGGGTCCTTGAGGACAGTTTAATTTTCAATGCAAATCCTTATAAGGAGAAAAGATTTACCTAACTTCTCTCTCACAATATAATGATAATATGACATATTATAATATTATATATTATAAATATGAAAAATGACATATGTACAAAAACATGACATATATATAAATAAAAACATGAAAAGTGATTTCTGATTTGAAATTCAGTTTGGTTTTTTGAATATGAAATTTTTTTCAATATTTCTCCTAGATCCAAATGGAGAATTCAAACAGTGCAGCTGACTTTGCTGAGCATTGTGTCATATATTACAACTTGGCAGTCACATATTACAATACTAAACAATATTCACAAGCAGTTCAATGTTTCAAACAATTAGAATCACTTGGTGAAAATATGGGTAAATAAATTACGCAATATATAAACTATATTTTTGTTAGGTTTTTAGACTTTTTTAATTTAACCAAGTATTTTCAATGTTTCATTAATTACTGTATGCTGGATAACTCATTTAAATGAACAGATGAAACCTTGTTGATGAAAATAATATATCTACTCGTTGATGCTTACCTCTCATCATTCAAGGTCTGTGTGTTGGGTAATTTCTAGCAATAGAATAATTTTTGTAAAATTATTTAAAATTATTATTTCTTCATAAATATAAACCTAGAGAAAAATTGTGTTTCCTTTAGCCCTACAAAGCTTTTGAGGTCATTGAATTTTTTGAAAGTTCGGATAAGTTGAATAAAGCAAACAAGCAGACACTAATTATGAAACAGGTTTTTTCAACTGGTTCTTTACTTTAATTTTTTATTTTTGTAGAAATATATAAGATACATTTTTTTTAAAAATAATTAATAAAAAAATTTTTTCTATTGCTCGCTGTCGAATGTCATTAAACACTCTAGTTTAACAATTTCTTTTGATCACATAGATTTTTTACTTTTATAGTGCCTAATGTATATAATTAACATTTATTTTTATTAATAAATAAACAAATGTAGTAGTGTGTTTTTGATGAATTACTTCCTACTAACAGTACAAAATGAAATGTCATCTGATGATGAGGTCATTAGATGGATTTTCGAAAGAAATTAAACATTTAGGTGATGCTACAAAACTTCAGGTTAAAAAAATTTATTATTATTCGAATAATTATTATTTTTGCTGATATTATTATAGTTTTCAATATTTTAATTACTAAACTGGTGTAGTACTTAATTTGTTAAATAATGTTAATCAAGCTATTTACAGCATACCACAACATGTAATAATTTTCGTTGCATATATTAACAATATCGGGGGAAATTCATTATTTAATGATGATAATTATGATAAATGTTATTATGATGTTTTTATATATAATATTATTATTATTGTTGTTAATTTTATCAGTAGTTCTTTTTTTGCTCAGTCAAAGGAGGGCATCTTTTTGAAATCACAATTTGAAATGCTACTGAGGAGGTATTCGCAGTCGGTCAAGACGCTAAGCTCTCACCAGGGCAACGACACTCGCAACAAATACTACCTGATGTGCTGTGCCAACAACATTGCAGTTAATTACTTCGAGATGAAGAAATATAATCTAGCACATAAGTATCTAGTGAAAGCCGTTGAGCATAAGAATGCCCTCACCGAACTCCAGAAAAAGAATGGTTTGCTTATTTTAAAATTTCCTTCTCTGGTAAACAAAAATAATTTTTATTATATTTCTGTATAAATTCACGTTTTTATTTTTTTATATATTTTATTTATTTTTTAAAATTATTTTTTATCAATTTCTAGGACCATCTTCAGAGAACCTGTCAAACAATCGGCATTACGAGTTGTTGTACAATATGGGCGTCACGCTCCTACAGTGCAATAAACCGCTGCTTGCTTTTGATTGCTTGCTTGGTGTCATTCAGGTTTCTTCGACATCTTCTGGCATCTTTTTTACGTTTTTCTGAATCTTCTTGCATCTTCATGTTTATTGGCTGGTCATTTACTTTTTTTCATTTGCTTAGCTGGTTCTGTATAAAAGTCTAGATCAATTTTTGTTTTAGTTGCTGTTGAATTTTTTCTGGTGTTAGCTGAACGTTTCACGTTTCCAAAGTTTTTCACTTTTTATATCCTGGTAATAGCATTTCAATACTTCCGAGTTTGTTCTGTTGTTGTCTTGTAAGTTCTTTTCAGATTGGTGCAGTCTATAATAAATGATCCAAGAGTTTACACATGTGATAGATCTTAGAGGTCACTGAATGATTGCTTTTTTTTGTTTGCTAAAAAGTATTAGTTGCTTATTTCTACATGGCAGTATTCAATGTGTTTATAGGTGTATCAGTTCAATCCACGCCTGTGGTTAAGGTTGGCTGAATGTTCTGTCATGGCCCATAAACAAGTTTGAAGCTGCTTAATTATGTTTTTTCTTAGTTTTTTAAATTAAATTAATATTATTCTATTTAGTTTCTCTGTGTGTTTATGCTTGGATATTATTATTATACTTTTGATAAAATTTTCGCCATGTTTTTATTTTGTCTTTATGAAGAGCCTTGAACGAGATAGCTACTCGGAGAAGACCTCAGTAATAAATTGCTTTGTTGGCTCATCCACTCATAAGAAGGCCATCTTAGGTCAGGGGGTCAACTGTAAAAATTTCAACAAGTGCGTCAAAAATTGATTTCCCTTCAATGGCTTTTTGCATGCACCCTTTTAAATTCAAATTTTTCAAACTTAGCTCTAAGGATTCTAGCGCCATGCCTATGCCAACAATGGGTTTTGCATCACTGTGTCTGGAAAACGCTCTTCTCTGCCTCAACAGTACAAACAGCAATGTGGACAAATCGAAGATGAAGAAGAAGAAGAAGGAAGATGATGTGATGGATGCTGATGGATCGGATGTTGATTACTTGCCTGATGATTTGGCTGCAGAGAGTATTGGGTAAGTACACTTGGTCAGTGAGTCAGCTACTCTACAGTATATTAATGTTCAGCTTTTTTTTTATAACATTTGTGCAAGATATGCTAAGCTTCCTTTTAAAGTCTCAATCTATCTATACTGTATAAATTATTATTCAATCGTCACACAGTCAAACAAGCTCTGTATGTTATGTTGCTTAACCATATTTAATGCATCAAACCTATCCTTATTCAGCAGTTTGGTAGTTCCTAATCGTTCTATATCACATAATTACCGTATCAGTTTTTACTATCTTCCAATATATTTCATGCTTGCTAATGTTTTGAAAGTGCTGAATATTTTTATTTATTAAATGTGGTGCCAATGAAACATTTACTTCTTAATGTACATTTTTCAATATATTTGATTTTCAAATTGAATAAATTAGTAGCAAACACAAACACTAAACTCTCACGAACAGGTCAAATGAATTATTCATTGCTATGGCTCCATCTAGCCCAGTCAAGATCAACGAGATTAATAATTTGAGGTCTTTTCTTAGATTCTATGTTTTTTCATTTTTCTTGTCTGCTGCAAATAAATATATCCGCCACTTTACTGTATGTGTTGCACATTATGTTCGTCAATCAGGTGCTCAATACTGACGTTGAAGTGTTACATCGCTCTACACCACAAAAATTATTTGATTGCACTACGTGTCAGCAACTTGCTGCTACAGCAACCCAACTTATCTGGCATTCACAGGTTTGTCATTTAGTCAGCGTTTGTTTGTTTGTTTGTTTGTTTGTTTGTTTGTTTTTTTGTTTGTTTGTTTGTTTGTTTGTTTGTTTGTTTGTTTGTTAGCTAATTAGCTATTATGCTAGTAACTATCGTTCGTTTGATTGTTGATATTTGCAAACGTCAATATTAATGTTTCCTTTCTTGTTACTCAATTTATTTGACTCATAAGATACTTGGCTCTGATGTACAAAGCCGAGGCACTGGTTGGACTGGACAGGTTACCAGAGAGTACAGATCTGATGTTAACTGATATTTCTGACATCAACATATTCAGTAGCAGTGATGCTGCTTATATACAAAGTTTGTAGCACTTTTCATCCGCTCGTCTATTTATCCGTCTATTTTTTTTCTTTCCTGTTATTTGGCTTCTTTCTTTAACAGATGTAATAAATAAGAATTTAAAAGTTTTATTTTCTGTCATTTCTCGTTCTTAAAACATTTATATATATTTATTAAACAGTTATTTTCTAATTTTAATTACAGGAAGAGATGACGAAAATATAAATAAATGTGAGCAAAATACTGAAAGTTAGTCATCATTTACGGTGAAAATTGGTCAAATAATTATATAATTACGATAATTTTTAAATTAATTTGAAGTATTATCTCTAATTATTACCATAAACCCCTAAATACAAATATCACTTTTGGCTAGAATGGAAATGTTATTTTTGTACGTTCTGCTACTAAATCATCCTAACTGACCAACGTATTAAATCATCCTAACTGAATCACACAGAACTGCAGAATGTCAACTGGTTCCCACACACAAAAGAGGGAGCCCAGTGTATCATGCACTATAATGTGGCTGTCGTGTCTGTCATCAATGGAGACCTCGTTAAGGCGCGAACTTTCCTTCAAAAGGTTGGTTATTTTTTTTTTCAATATAGATTTATAACTTTGCTATTTTAAAAAGTGTTTCTTTGAATGATCCTCATTTCGTGTTTCTTGCTTCGATGTTTTTTTTCTTTCCATTGTGCCTCTCACACGAGCAGAGTTTGCAGCACTTGAAGCAACCTTACCCTACACAAGTGTACTACCTGATGATATATCTCGAAGTTGCCGAAGGTTTTTTTACATTTCAGTCATTGTTTCCATAACTCATTTGTTTATACTGGAGATTACGGTGACCAGATCAACGTTCATCACAATTTTTAAAATTTTTCAGCTAAAGGAAAGAGCAAGGATCCGCCTAATATTCGTAGCATTGTGGCTTGAAATTCCCAGTGATATGGACACATATACCATGTTGCTTATCAGTTAAATGTAGTTTTTTGTAATTTCTAAATTCAATATATCTTTTTATTTCATTTATATTCAATTCGGTTTGTAATCTTTTTTTAGTTTTGTTGTTTTATTTTCTTGAATACATTCATTCTAACCGCAACGGGTGGTAGATTTGTGCAGGTTGCACAGCGCGCATTTTGTGTTTTGGTCAACTTTTTCCATATGTAGGATGATTTGATAAGTATTTTTTTTATTTTACATATGAATAAATTGGATAGGTGCAAATTCAATTTAATAGTTAATTAATAGTTATCGTGAAGTTTTGACAGTGCGTAAACTTTAGCGTCGAAATTATCTGCAGTATTCATCAGCTATTAACAGGATGATCCCTCTGCAAAACAAAGCTTCCAGTAGAGTGTTTAGTCGGAAGGTTAGGTTTAAAATGAAACTCTAAGTAAAATATTTTTACAAACTTGAGTTTAAGTTGCTAAGATTCGTTTAATTTAAAGCCCGTGTTATGACATCTATCGGTAATTCGTGTTTCGAATATTTCCGAACAAAAATGTATCTAACGTCATAGTTATTGTTCTATGTGTACATCTAAATACAAGGTTTGTTTTTTGATAAATATATTTAGTGAAGAATCTAGTATGAAGGAAGATTAACTTTATAATGTTGGATGGGTGTCTGCCTGAGTTTATTCAAGAAAAAAAGAAAGGCACGTCTTTTTTCATTTTCAATGCAGCTTTGTCAAACGCAGAACTGGTAACTTGTCATTTTATGCAATTAAATTTTTGTGCCACAAAAGCTGTAGGTACTTTCCACGCGACGAACAAACGTTAAAGTATGCACGCGCATGCAGCGTATCATAAGCGCATCTAGTATGATAGTCTTCCAGTTTCACTATTCAAACCAATCCATCGCGCAACAACAGTGCAAGACATGACACTTCTGCTGACTGAGCTAACTCGTTTTCCAATTAATTATATATTAAGAGTTAATATTGTAAAAATTAAAATACTATCAGTAAAAAATTTTTGAACAATTTTAAAGATTTTTTTTTTTTTTATTGAAAAAGTCTGAATTCATTCAAAATTTTTAGAAAAAGAATGTAGTCGAAAATGTGATAGAGACGTCTGATAAAGATGTCACTACTCAAATAAAGAAGGAAAACGAACAAACTGGGTTGGGTGTGATGAACAGACTAGCGGAATTTGTTTTAAGAACAGATGTAAAGAAATCCAATCAAACGAATAGCGAGCAAGAAAAGACCCATGATGAAGATGAACTTTGGAAGGTTATTGTAAAACGACAGAAAAAAGAAATGCTCGATAAAATTGCTAAGCTAGAAGAAGAATATCGCCGAATGAAAGAGGCAGATAAAGAATTGAAAAAAATCGATGACGAAATGAAACTCGTTGAAGAAGAACAAGAAAACTGGCTTTTGATAAAAGATAAAATGTCACAGAAATCTAATCGCGTGATGCCCGTAACATCAGCTGAGAATATGAAGAGGAGTTTCAGGTTCGATAAAAATACTTCACCTTCTCATAGACAAAAATTTATTCCAATGAAAAACAAAAAAGACATTGATGCCCTAGATTTTTATGTTGAAACTGTTCAATCGAAAGTGTCAAATGAAAATAGGGAAAGAATGAGTTTAGTTGACGGTACACCATCAACGAGTTGGTATCATTTTTAATTTCATGCTATTCCAATTATACTGCTTTTGTATTAACCAAAAAAATTTTATGTTGATTATGAAGTAAAGTTTTTCTGAGAAAATTTTTTTGAAAAATTTTTGTTTATTTTAGTACTGAGTTCACAACGCCATGACAATTCATCAACGACATACTGCATCGAAAACTACTTGATTTTAAACATGATTGGAAAGGGTTGCTGTGGAACTGTAAGAACCTTTCATTGAAAGCATCAATAATAATTAATGTTTTTATGAGATGTCACGTTTTCTCTAAATTTTCTAACTTTCATACTTCTGATCATATAGTGCAACAACTTGGGATGGTTATCTCAAGTTGGCCGAGCTTATATTTTAGCCAATATAACACCATACTGAAATACACTTGTAAATAAACCAAAAAACCAGTAAATTGTTACCTTTATTGAATATATGGCCTGTGGTAATGCTAAGTGGTGTCACTCCAAGTTTTGAATGTAAGATTGAAAAAACGTTTCAAAAAAGTGAATAATTTTAAATTTAAATCATATTAAAATGACGCTAAAAAATGCAATTGAAATAGCAGCGTTGTAGTGCGTATTTTTAAAGAAATTAGATTAGAATTTTTCACTTCTCGTAGCTTGACATTTTTTATGATCGTTAGCAAATTTATTAAACATTGTTATATAGATTTTATTAGCTTTGGACAAAATTACTAAAAAGGCTGTGGCTATTAAAGTGGTAGAAAAAGCTAGCAGGTTTTTATCAGTCATGGTTTCTGAGAAGCAGGTCATGGATCTGTTACGTCCGAACTGGCACCCATTTGTGGTCTATATGTTCAACTGTTTTCAGACTAAAGTTTGCTACTGTCTTACTTAATTACTTCAATGACTATCTGTAAATTACAAAAAAAAAATCAATTTATTTTTAGGGACACATTTTGTTTGTCATGGAATATTTAGAAGGCCGAACCTTAAACGTGATATTGGCAATTGAAAAGTTCTTTACAGAACAACGGACAGTGTTTTACTCGTCTTGCGTTTTGTTAGCTATTGGTTACTTACACAGCCTCAATATAGCACACAGGTCGGGATTTTCACACTTTTCTGTTTAATGTAAAAAAGAAAGAAATTACAAATATATTTAAATTCAGAGATATCAAGCTAGAAAATATAGCACTAGATCGTCAGGGATATCCAAAGTTGATTGACTTTGGTATGGCTGAAATTAACGTTAAACATAACACACCAATACTGGAGAAATCAGGCACTAGATTTTATCAAGGACCTGAGTTTCTAATTCCTGGCATGATCACTCGACGGTCGAGTGACTTTTGGAGTTTGGGAGTGATCATACACGCAATGCTAACAGGAAAAGTTATAATTCCTTGTTTATTTTTATTACATTTAAATATAAATTCAAATAAATTTATTATAAATTTAATATAAATTTCGTTCAGTTCATAACCGTGCTACCGGTTTTAATAATGGATGCCCAACTCAGCAGACATGCTTATGATCTTTTAAAAAAAGTAAGCCATCAATGTTTAGGTGTATTGAAGTTATAACAATTGTTGATTCAGTTAATTGTTCAATTAATTATAATAATTAATTAATTAATTAATTACTTGTTAGATGCTGCAAACAAATCCCCTGGAACGACTTGGAGCAGGTCAAAATGGGGCTAGTGACATCATGAAGCATTCATTTTTTAGGGTTTGAAACTATAAATCTGTTCAAATAAATGTCATTGTTTTATTTATTCATTAACCAATTTTCAACAGTATTCAGATTGGGATGAATTGCTTAACAGAAATATCATGGCACCTGCATTTTGGACCAAATCGGTTAGACCGCATAATTATACATTCTGATTAATTGTTACGGATATCAAATTATATTATACGTCTTTGAAAACTAAAATTGTGAATATTTTTTATTTTTTGCTGTACGTCATGACGAAGCCTAGCTGTTCACAAATTATGTCTCAGATGTTTGGTAGTTAAACATTTGTACCACAAGTCCTGTATCTCCACACCAAACGGACTTCAAAACATTTGTGAGCGCAAGCACAAGCGCCAAATAATACACACGAACTGCTTGATAGATAACTCTTGAGTTTTGCACACATGGCATTCGAAGCGAGTTAGTTTAGTTTTCTAAAACAACGCGAGTTATGTGGCACTCTTACTCTTTGAACTTGCTCGCCTACCTGATTTTAACACAATGATCCTTATTCGTTTGAAGCATGAGGCTTGATTTGTTCTAGAATTTATTTGCATGTTATCGTTAAATAAATATAATTTTATCAAAATTCAGCCTGAAATGAAACCATTCAATAAAGATTTAGAATCAATGAAATCAGCAAAGGCAGTTAATTTGAAGAATAAAAATTTTGAAAATGTGCAATGGTTAACCGTCGAAGAAGTTCAAAAGGAGGAAATAAATTCATTTACCGAGCACATGTAACACGTCTCCCTGCGGAATGTAAAAGCCAAATTCATGTATGGCTGTTAACAATTTTTATGCTTGAGGCTCTATATTTAACAAACATTTCAACTTCACCAAATCGTGTAAGGTTTAATTGAAATCAAACTTTTCAACTCACGAGTGTTCACAGAAATATTTTATTTCAACATATATGTATATATATATATATATATATATATATATATATATATATATATATATATATATATTTATATAATAAATTAAACAGAAAATGAAAGCCAACATCATCACTATCGCAGGAACAAAGTTAAAACAAGATTTAAAAAAATATTTACACTCATGAAAAATTTATTAATTGTGATTAAACAAAATTGCATTAAATTTAATTAAGTTAATTAAGCGATTTGAAAAAAACTTTAAAAATTCTTCGCATTGTCATTGAATTCTCCAGCCTAAATAGGTGCCTGCAAGTAATACGTCCTGCCAGCAACGTTGTAAGAAGCAGGTTGTACATTTTTTGACCGTCTGTTGTCATACGTGCCTGGAACGCCAGTCATCGGTTGTTGGTTGTTGTAACGATTGGAAACATTGTAATTGTTGTTGTAGTGTGGCGTGTGGTAGTTGTACATGCTTGGACGCATGGTGATGTTCTCAGAAGAATTACTGCTGCTGCCTTCCGAGATCGTCATGACTTGTGTTTGGCTCTCTTTCTTCTTCACCCTCCCGTATATGACATCTCGATCGTTGGAGCTATTTCGAAGGGACGCTGCATAACTTCTTGAAGGTACCTGCTGCTGTCTGCTTGCCAGTGAGTCGAATGATTTTTCAACTTGCGAGCCAACTTTATTTTGGTAGTTCCTGGCAGGAGATGTTGATTTCTTGCCAACGTAAGCTCGAGCTTTTGTTGTGTAATCAAGGCTGTCCGTTCTACTCTCAACGTAACACGTTGCATCTGCCATTATAAGACCGTTTTTATTCAAAAATGTTTTAGTGGTGTAAGAGCCGATGCTGGAAATTGTGCTGTCCGTAAAACCATTTGTCTGCGTTTGAGTGCTGGAGTTTGTGCGCGATATTTCATTATGAGGAAATATTTCAAAGGCATTCGATTCTCTAATCGTTTGTCTATAGTTCAATCCATTTTGATAATTATTTTGACTCTGAGATGTCTTGGTGCCCGTGTAAACGACAGTCGGTCTCTTTGTCAATGTTTTTGCAAAATTATTTTCAGATCTGGAAATTGGACGCCCAACTTTTGATGAAGAATAATTGATTGACCCGGTTGGTTTTACTGCAGTTGATTTAATTTCTGATAGTTTTAAAGTATTTAATCCGTAAATTTGTTCTGGCGATTTGCCAGTGAAATATTTTTCTCCAGTGACGAGTTCTCTGAAAAGTTTCTCAAACGAAACTGCGTCGTTAACTTTCCTGACAGTATAAGTGTATATTTCATATTTGAAACTTGGCAGTCTGGATTTCAAGACACAAACAACCAAGTTTGTATATTTTCTATCTTGGTAAATGTCGAACAAACGTTCAAAATCAAAATGTTCATATTGCGCCCCAATTGCCTTCAACTTGTCCAAAATTCTATCTCCTAACGTCAAACCGTTAGGAGAGAGTTTTAGGGATGTTTTTATTGGTTCTCCGAAACGATTTTTATCTGGAGAGAAGTCGTACAGTTGATTAGCGAAAAACTTTCCGCAAGTCCAAACATCGCATTTAAACCTGGCAACATTCGACCTCAGTCTGAGAGTGTCGCTACCGTGAAATGAAACAATTTCTGAGGCCATTAATAAAACGATACTAAAACGAAAATTAAAATTGCATTGCAGAAGCAAATAACTGAAAACGTTAAATTGAAATGGGTTTATTTTTTGTCTGAAGTTCGAAATGTTCACGAGGAAATAATTCTCAGTTGTATGACTGAATGTTGGCGTTCTCAATGGTTGCTGAAATAAACAATGTGTGGCTTGCAAATAACAATGGGTGACTCGCTGAGCTACTGAATTTATAATAGTTATAAGCAGCTCTTGCTGTTAGCAAGACTCTACGTTGCTTCTAAATCGTCCACGCAAATAATTCTTTAATTGGAATTTATCGGCTCATAGTATTAAAACGTCAACGTAGAATTTATATTTTATTTTTGAAATAAAGTTTCGAATCATGAGACATATGACGTTAAATTCTTTCCTATTCATCAAATAGATTTTTCGAGACATGTTCATTTTTTTATCAAAGTCAACAACACTTAACTTTTTGAATTTCATACTGCTTATTCTTTTAATCCTTCACACATATTTAAAAATACTAACTAACACGCACGTGCACACGATGGTACATTCTTGCGCACATTCATATTTTTATATTTTATCAATATATACATAAAATGTCTTAGTTTGCTGGGCCGAAAAAATGTTAGCAATTTGTTATTCAACAGTTATAGGTTCAGTTTGATTTTATCGATAGTAATATTATTGACTTCTTTCTTATTATAATAATTGATTCCTATCGGCACAATCACTATCTCATTATCTCGGTTCAAATAACAACTTTAACAAAATATATCGAAGTAATTTTTGTGACACATTACTCTCACGCACACACATCACATAACGGTGACAAAATGCTAAAATATCTTTTTTAAAAAACGAACGTTAATTATATTGAATTGTTGCCTTCTCAATCGATTAATCGATTGAGAAGGCATCGTTAAAAGAGTCAATCGGCTTGACAGTCAGATATGACTTTTTACGGCTGAATGTTTTTAATTTTTTGCTTATTTTTTTTTACAATAGCACAGTTTCTAATCAAAAGTAGTTTATCAATTCACGATATCTATGCTTTATCGTCATCTACATTTGCTCTAGCAATTTTTATATCTACCGTATAATTTCTTTTTAATAGTTGGATGCCATTTATTTAAATATTCACCAATTAAATGTTAATTGTCATTAATCAACAGTCGTTGGTCAGTCAATTAATAAATGATCAATCAATCAGTCAGTCAATAAAACGATTAATCAATCAAATGATCAATGATTTCACAACCACTGGCGTAGTTTCAATCAGAGTATTTAAATATAATATTAAAAAACATCAAATGTACAACGTAAATTAACCTAATTAACCCACTTATTTAACATTATAATTCAAGTTCATCTGAAAATCCTGTCCACGATATTAGCTCAGGCACGATTCAAATATCATAAAATCTGAACTTATAAGCAAATGAATTAATTTGGTAAGCCAGCCTAAGACTGGCTGAACAACATCATATTAACTTATTATTTCAACTGTCTTAGAATAAAATAGTGCAAACAACGCATGTGTTCAAATGTTTGGGTAGATTTGAGGCAAAATTTTTGTAATTAAAAAAAATCTAGTTTTGTGTAAAAATTACGATCAATTAGCTCTTGTTAATTTTTGTTATAAAGTGCGAATAATTTTGCGTTTCTTTATTTCCTATATATTTTACCTACTAACAACCTTCAAAAACAAATTTGCATAAGTATGTATTGGTAATTGCATATCCTACTCGGTGAGTTGGTTTTCGTTGAAGAGTTGAAGACTGAGCGTTGATACAGCGCCTGTTTCAAATGCTGATATGCGTAACTATAGTACGTACGATTCACGCGTATGATGTGTTGTTTGCATTGACACACAAATGTATGTATGTCGTTTATTGAGGGTTATTAACAACAACGTAGGAGAAGATTCGTATGAGCTCTGTGTTTGACAGTTTTATTTCCATGCCAGTTCAATATATCAGCGCTCATGCATGATAACTTAATATTAAGAATGAAACGTGAAGATGTTTGTAGGCTTAGTGAAATTTGTCTGCCGTTATTCTATTTTCAATGTCGGTGTGTCAATGATTTTTGTAATATTAAAAGTTAATATTCAGAACAAAATACATGGAACTGACTTTCGCATGCACTGCAGAGGCATGTAATATTACAATACGCTTTTGACTTGACAAATGTTAAACTTCTTTAACTATTACAATTTTGAAGTCAAGTGAAATTATATGCTAGGATTAATCCTTACTTGATTTTTTTCTCCAAATTTCAAACACACCTGAATAGCTCGAAACATTCGTTCAGGATTAGTAAAATTAGGCAACGAAATAAAAATATGACACAACCAAAACCACGAAATGCGTGTACAAGAATGCAAACGCCATTATCGCCATTATGTTCACGTCAGCCGCAAACCTCTGCCTCTGCATTTCATTTCTTGAATTCGTCATTCAATCCTCAGAAAAACAACAGGCGCACATGCGACAGATGTCCTATGAAAACTGCAATTTACAGATCAATCGAACTGTTGTTTGATGAAGTGAGTGCTATTTCTATTACCAACAATCCCTGCATTCAATCCGTATATATATATATATATATACAAATGCAACTATAAATAAGTATATATAATAACGTACATACATTATGAGTATATATATATACAATGCGTGTTGAACACTGCGTTGCGTTTTGCTTGTATGCTTGCAAATACATTGGTAGATGTAGGCTGCGAATCGGACAGAACATATGTTTGTTTGTTTGGTTTTTAAACAAATATGACAGGATTTTCTTAGAATTTTTGTAATATTGAATATTCCGCATTGTTCAAGCTCAATGGTAGCGTAAAATTTTGCTGAAATAAAAAAAACTGATTAGAAATACAAATCAGTGAAATGATGGGTAATGAGAATTCTGACGAGAAGATTGCGATAAAAAGATTTTTTAGTAGAGATTCCTCCAATGAAAACCTGAGCAAGAAATGTCAAATACCCAAGCGGTACATACTGTCTTTCATGGGCTTTCTTGGATTTTGTAAGTATCTTTCTTTAAATTGAGTGTTTTGGTTAAAATGTTTCTGTTGACTAAATTAAGCTGGCGATTAATTATGTAAGACAATTTCAATCAATTTTTTTGAAGTTAAAATATTTTTAATAATCACCATGACGTATACATTCTTGAAACTTTATTATCCAGATTCATTACCTACTGGATTAGTATCATTGATGAATAATTGTTGCTATTTCTATGCCAGAAATATTTAAAGCTGTAAAATCCACGCATATACAATTATACATAATGAATAATCATTGTATTCTATTTTTTACACATTGCAGGTAACCTTTATTGCATGAGAACAAATTTAAGTGTGGCAATTGTGGCCATGGTGAGCAATTATACAGTCCTTCAAAGTGGTACAAATGTCACAGTTAGTAGGAAGTTTCTTTATTTTTCCTTATTACATTATTTTAATTAGTGTCAATAAATATGCATCAATTGTCAGTGTTGCAAACAGTGTTTTTGGTGATTTTATTTTCAAACATCAATGCAACCATAAATTTTGACTAACAATGTTGCACTGTGAGGTGTATGTGATCAGTGAATGTTATCCCATACTTTTGAATGAAATAACAAAATTAATATTATGCTGCTAATCGGGTACAATGATAATGATTTTGTTTTAATTTTTTTGAAAAGAAATCTGATTTTCAATGGGACTCACAAACTCGAGGCTTACTGCTTGCTTCATTTTTTTGGGGTTATGCAATCACCCAACTCCCTGGAGGTATGTTCATCAGACTCAATTTTTAAATATTTTATTCACTGCCATCCTGCTAAAACTACGCTTACGCTATAAAAAGTTCTTTCTATAACAATTTTTATAATACAAATGTTAATGTACAAATATATAAACAGGTTGGCTAGCATCTTGCATTGGAGGAAGAAATTTGTATGGAGCTGGAGTGTTGAGCACTGGAATATTAACTCTGCTGACTCCTGTTGCATCTTATGCAGGCTTCCAACTGTTGATAGTCGTTAGGTTTTTGGAAGGTCTATTTGAGGTTAATAGTTGCGTTTATATTTTACACTGGATTAGTAAGGATAGTTGAGCGTTGATTTACACGTGTCTTGCAGGGAGTCACATATCCTTCCATGCACACAATTTGGAGCAAGTGGGCACCACCATTGGAATGCAGTAAACTATCCAGTTTTTCTCTTAGTGGTTTGTTAGATTTTGAAAAAGTTCATGTATAAGTCAGTTAAATTATGTTTATAAATAAAAATAAGTAAACAAAAAAATAAAAAAAATAACAACTTTTAATAAGGTTCATATTTTGGGATGATGTTAGCACTACCAGTTTCTGGATTGTTAGCTCACTTCATCAGATGGGAAGCCATTTTCTACTTCTTTGGTTGGTACAAAATCAAACCCCTGCCACATTTATAACATACTAAGCACGTTATTTTTACTACAAACGTATATTTGTTTTCAACCTTCTGATCTGGCAAAGATTGTAGTATTGGATTTGGATATATTTATCAAATTAGGATTAAAAATTTTGAATGTAGTAATCTCATAGGCGCGAAACATTTTTCGAAAATAGGAACATGTGCACTCGTCTGGGTTGTGCTGTGGTTTATGTTGATCACTGAATATCCAGAGGAACATCCCTCAATCACACCTCAAGAACTCAACTACTTGAATGAGACAATTGGAATGTCGTACATGCAAAAGCAGGTCTTAAATTCTAGTTCCAAATTTTATTTCTGAAAACTTTTTTTATTGGAAATGAATTTAAATTTTATTAGAAATTCCCCATTCCGTGGAAATCATTATTTACCTCATTACCGCTCTATGCAATAACTGTTTCTCATTTTTCTGAAAACTGGGGCTTCTATACAATGATGACGGAATTGCCAACTTTTCTCAATGATCTGGTGGACTATAATCTGTATCAAGTTTGTTTGAATTAATTTATGAAATGTGATTAAACGATGCTTTTTAAAAATTATTGCTTATTACAATCATTAGTGTTACTTTTTTTTATATTATAACATTGTTCCCAGATCGGTATGTTATCTGCCATTCCCTACCTGGTTATGAGCATTACCATAATTTGTGGAGGACAGCTGGCTGATTACTTGAGATCAAAAAGGTTACTGTCGACGGTTGCTGTCAGGAAAGTCTTCAACTGTACAGGTTTGCTTCATTCGTTCGTACTAGTAGATAACTCGTCTTCCCATACAAGAAATGTACTAAAATAATTCGACTCAGCTGTACACTTCCGATGCTCGCTAACCTCTTCTCAATTTTCAAACTCTATACTTATACCTACGTTGATATTTCTACTATTATATTGTTAAGCGCATGCACTAGCAAAAAAATATGATCTGCTTAGCATTCTTGTGCCAAGCCCTGTTGATAACAACAATGACCTTCATAATGACGCCTGCATCGGTTGTTATCTGTTTAACGCTTGCAATCGGCATGGGAGGATTCGCATGGTCAGGATTCAGTGCCAACATGTTGGACATTGCCCCACAGGCAAGTTTATTGTCAAATGTATTTTAAAGAACTGAATGTTCGATTTATCATTAAATTTTCTTCATATAGCATTATTGAAAATGGCATTTACTAACTTGTATGATTCAATGCTTTTAATTAGTTTTATAATGTAAAAATTCTTTCTTAGATGTATTTTTAACGAGCGGGCTTAACTTCCAGTACGCAGGTATCGTGATGGGCATCTCAAACACTTTTGCCAGCATACCTGGAATTATTGCACCTGTAGTAGCCGGCAGCATTGTTCAAAACAACGTGAGCTGAGATACATTTCCTTTTTTGTAACAATGATAATAATTAAAAAAAATTATACAAGTCATTGGATTTATTAAATTTATGTTCTGATGGCAAGATGGCAACAAGGGGCTAGCGTCAGTGTCCAAATCATTTTTTTCATGGTCGTTCGTGACTCGTGACGTCAACTGATTTATAAATCAAAAACTAAAAACGTCGACTAACTTCAAATGATAAATATAACAAATGAATATCAATAATAGCTACAGCTCTTTTAAATGATATCACTGACAACAGCAAATGACTTTACAATGGATATCTAAGAATGATATTTCACTTATTGTTGTTCTGACAGGCTCTGGTGGAATGGAAGATGGTCTTTTTGCTGATAGCAGTCATCTACTTGTTTGGGGCCATATTTTACGGCATATTTGCCTCAAGCAAACTTCAACAGTGGGCAGAACCAAAGATCATCGATATCCGGGACAACCTGTCTACAGCTCCTACGGAGTATGAACTCGGTCACGAAGAAATCAAATGAGGATGATGGTTATCGCGATGGTAACATCGATAGTTTTCTATTGATAATGAAAATCTAGTTAACGGCATATTGTGAAATGTATGTTTTATAAGCTGTATATCTGCTATACTGTATAAAAAAAACATTCCCATCTGTACCGTTTCTAACAAAAATACTAAATCACACACATACACGTATGTATATTTATACATACATGCTTATACATATATACACATACAAACAAAAACATACGCATATAAACATACATGCACACCATCACACGTCAAAACAACATGTTTAGATGAAGATGCGTTATATAAATAAATACGTTATACTGTTTAAAAACAAGCTAATCAATATATTTCGGGAAAATATATATATATATATATACATGTGTATATCATTAGAATTATCATTAGAATTGAGGCTGTTGTACATACAATTATTAATAAATATCACAGCATTTTCAGCTTTGATCAGTATATATAACTATTCAAACATACATATATATTTACACATAATACTCAGCCATGGATATGTTGTTTGCGCTATACTTGTTATCTAGTCAAGAACGTGGTGTCACCGTATTGAGCAATTTTTACTTATATAGCAATTACTGTATTGAAAAAAATCTCAAAAAGTATTTAAATCTTAAAAACATTTTGACTCCCAAATCAAACATAGCCGTAATCGGCACGCCAATACTTGAATAGGTTGAAATTTTTCTTTCTATTATGAAAAATAATTTTTGTGTTTGTTTAGAACGTTTTCAAGTATTAATTATGCTACAACATGTTTGCACTACGATTGTTTTTTATCTATGATCATTCAACTGCATGTATTCATTTCTACATCCTCATCATTATACAGACATGCCTATTTTATAAATTTTTATTTTATCCACTACCCAGCCAGTCACTGACTGACTTCTTCGCTACCTTTAGTTGCAATATTTATTGTATTTATTGAAACTGTTTTACTTTTTTTTGTATTTACCGGCGATCATTTTAGCTGAAGTATAAATTTTTGATGAAATGCATTTAAACAACTGTTTAACAACGCTATTGCAACCAAAACTCAATGTTATTTTAAGATGAATCATGTTATTCAATACGTACACATAGTTTGAATGATACGGAAGTGTTTGTAAAGTGGTTGTAAATGTAAAAATGGCTAAGGCAGCCAGTCTCTATCTCTCCAACAAAAAACTTTTTAGATGGAGTTGGAAAATTTGGTTTATTTTTTAATCTCAAATTCTAAAGTTTGAATTTTAATTATTCTTGTTGTTGTATTGAAGTTTGGTTTGTAAAATCGGTGAGTTTGGAGATGTATTTAGATTATTTAGTAAAGCTACGTATGCATTATATTTTTAAAAAATAACCTAAAAGTTCATTACGTACAGTACAGAAATTGACCTAAAAATTAAAAAAATTTAAGGCTTGGTTGTATGCTTAAAATAACGTTCCCTAAATGAAGATTTTTCGTAATGATTTTTTTTCAGTACTACTTGAGAGAATTCATCAGATAGATCATCATTCTGAAAAATTTTTCAAAAGAAATCATTTAAAATTAAAATCATACAGTTTGCATTAGAATATTTGCTGAATATGTATCTTGCATTTCGAAATATAGCTTGGTTTTTCTTATGAAAATGAACATAATTTACGTTAAAATCTACAAGAATACTAACCACGCTAATAATTTTTTGCATCGTGATCATTCTCCTGCTTACCCTGTTGTTCAACACTTGTTCACAATTTGAAACCAGTCGTAACCGTTCGTGTTGCGGAATATTTAAATCTGAATAGCTGATTTTTAATGAAACCTCAAAGATTTTATTGAGTTTTAATAAAAAATTAAAAAGATAGTTAGCATGATATGACGTAATCCAATGAACATTTTGACATTTACGAAAATTTACTTATCACAAATTCAACTAACTCGTTCCTATATATTGGCATCCAGTAAACTAGGCGACCACCTTCTACTAGATATTTAGCCGCGAAACACAACAAGTCGCAGAGAATTTCGTTCAAATTATAATTCTTCTTGCACGGGATGTGATTCTCTTCTCTGTTGAAAAAGTTGCAGTCAAGAATTTGTGCATATTTGAAAAAAACATTTAACGCATGTAAAGTAAACTAACATCTCTGGCTTCATGTCGTCAATGGGTTCCTTTTTAAAACCAAGTTTAGTTGTTGGCTCTCGAATGCCATAAGGTGCTTATGGGAGCAAAAGTGAAAATTTAATAACAGTGAAACATATGAGATGTAAAAATCCAAAATAATCTTACGATCTGTGATGATAGCATCAAACAACCCCTGTTAAAAATGAAAGATTAAAAAATCTTCATATAATTCTATAAAGCCTACTAGAAAAATCTCCATTTCATTTCATTATTAAATGTAGATCAAGGATAAATTTTATCATTCAAATATTGAGTCTGACAAACCTTTTTTGAAAACTTCCAGAGTTTGTCGTGAAGAGAGGCATCAGCGATGAATGCATCAATGTACCTAGCCTCCAAGCCATACTGCTTCAAATTGTTTCTTATCGATTCCTCTCTACATCTGTACTTCTGACCTGCTCTGCTTGACTTTCCTACACGACAATGGTGTTAGTTGATAATTATAATTAAATGAAATTCTGAAATGCACACTAGAAAAAAAAATTTGAAAATTCTGACTTCCGAACATAAAACTTAAGCAAAAAAGGGTGGCATTATTATTGCATATAACATATGTGTCTTAATGATTTAAACTATTTTTTAATCAAATTAATTAGCATTCATTTAAAATAATGATAAAATATTTACATAATTAATACAAATTAAGATTAGTTTCATTTATTAAATGATCATTGTCTGTTGATCAAGATCTTTTATAAAATGGCATGGAAACAGTTGCATAGGCTTACCATTGTTCTCATAAAAACACTTGATGATGCAAAAACTTCTACAAAAATCTAACGTATAACTTAAAATATATCATGTGGAATGATGAAATGATAACACGTAATAATTATAAAGATGATACACTATAGTGATAAAAGAGATTAACCTCCTAACCAACGCCCGTGATGATATTGTAATCAATATCACTCCCCATGACATGACCACCAAAATGGGCACATGACACTAACAAACTCCCTATACGTTTTTTTTTTGTATTTTAACAAAATCGCAAATTCAACAAAAATTGTAACCGATGTCTTTCAAATGTTATTATTAAACTTTATTTAACATTATTAAATTTAATCAATAAAATTCTAAATTTCCAATCATGTACCTGTGCCTACAAAAGGATCATAAACCAGCGACCCTTCTCTAACATGAGCCATGTTGGCCATGATCATTGATAAGGTAGGATCCATGGAAGTATTACCTGTGAAAAATAATAAATTTTTTATAAATTTATAAAATAATATTTTTAATAGTTTAAATTCATAATTGTTTGTTTTATTAGAACTGAAAGTTTTAAAGCTAACCGATGAATTTTCTGCTGCTGAGGTTGTATTTTTTCAGAACATCTCTTTGGCTATCGCAAATCTATAAAAATGGGAAAAAATCTATACATTTTAATTTATTATAAATTCAATCAAATTTTGTGCATGAAAACAGAAACAAAACAAAAAATAGATGCAAATATTTAATGAATAAGAGCACTATAAGACATACCCATTTCCCAAAATATATCTGGCTTGGTGTTTCAGCAGACTGATTGTTAACTCTTTCATAATACTCAAGAAGGCAGTACGTAACATCACAACCATCTTTTAGGTTTATTTGGCCTCCAAAGTTTACTGGCCCACTTGTTAATTGCTGAAGTTTATATTTAATGAAAAATCAATCAGAAAAAGTAATTTGATTAAATATTTTTCATGTTGTAGGTTTTATAGCTAAATTTTTTTTTCTGAATTCAAAAAGATTAGGTTTTTTTTGTCTTTAGGGTTACCTCAATTTTGTTAATTTTTTCCTGCAGACTGAGTTGCTTGTTGAATGATTCAACTTTTATTCTGAAACTACTACTTGCATTGTTTATGATTTTCTGTTAAACAAATTCATAAATAAAACATATAATCAATAAATATTATAATGGCTGTATTAATATATAGAATGTTTATAAATAATTAAAATAATTAATTATAAATATAAACAGAAAATCTATATAAAAACTGTCAATAAATCTTTTGTGGGCTAACAACTTTTAACTAACTGACAAAAATTAATATCTAAAAAATGTTATAGATCAAAACAATTTACATAAATTACTTTTTAATATCCACAAAGAAAACAAAATTTCTACCAAAACTTCTGGTGATAATGAAGCCAACTGGCTATAAAATGATGAGTAAGAAACTGCTTGCACCCAAACTTCAATTGCTGATCTGTCAATCATATTTACATGGTTTTTTTAATTTGATAAAACAAAATTTTTCGTAAATTTTATTAACATTTTCACATAAGAAACTCAATCTTATTAAAATTTTCAGATAAGAAACCATGTTTATTTAATTAAATAAAACAATCCAGTGAGACCAATGTTATAATAAACTTGTTTGAAGAAAAAAAAAACAATAAGATGATCACACTTTATAAGGACAGATCTTTGAACAATATCAACTATGAGTTTCTCATCACAAAGAATGTTGTCAACAATTAAAAATGGATTCTGAAATGTAAATATTTAATATTTTATTTTTATCCTATCCTAAATAAATAAACAATACAAAACATTCATACATACATACATACACACATACATACTTTATTATCATGTTTATCAATAGTTTCTTTCAAGTTAACTCCCATAAGATTTGAGATAGATAGGATTTCCTATCAAAAAATTTTTTTGCTTTATAAATTAAAATTATATCATTAATTTTCAATATGAAAAAAAATCAACATTAATTTTTTCTTCTATACTTACAAACCAAACATATTCTTATTTTACTGTTATACATAGCTTATTATAAAAGTGATAAGAAAGTATTATAATGAAAACGGAGTTTTGTAACTCACAATACAATATTAAAATAAAATAAATAAAAAAATATAAAAAAATAAACGAAACTTATATAAAAACGTATCAAGAAATAAATTTAATTATTGCCTGCAACCGAAATTCCAAGTGATCATGCGCCATGTGCATCAGGACGTTCATCTTCTTGTTCATTTCTAATTCGAATTAAAAATTAATTAAATTAACTAACAATGGAAATTAGACGGAATTGTTTTCTTCAACTAACTATTTCTTTGCCAAGCGTTCTATTTGGGGCTGACACCTAAAACTAATTTTTAGTAAGCAACTAAATGTAAACAAACCTAATGTAAAAATGAACTAAGACGGAATTTTTACTGACACAATCGACACCAACAATAAATCGGTCCTAAGAATGGTAAGAATGGCTGTCAATCGTACGATAATAAAAACATGCATGTCTCTAATGTTTCATTGCGATTAGCATTAGATGCATTATCTTGAGAATGTATTAAATTAACATATAAACCATCCATACAGTTTTCAGTTACTATTTGCTATTACAGTTACTTTAATAGAGTTTCCCCCACTTATTACTATTAGTATAAGTATATGCTAATTACTATAACTATTTGTATTTGTTTACTTTCTTATACGATGGGCCTGATGGTCACGTGCTGATCGATCACGTGCCTTCTTCCTAGCAAATACGCGCAGCAAAAGTTGTTGTGTTGTTGTTACTCTTTACGGTTGCGTCGGCACATTTTTTTATTGAACTGTTTTAAAGTTTAAATTTCAATTAATATGTTAAATTTTCGTTTTTTACATTTGCATTTCAATTTATTATTAATAAAATAATATTCTTTAAATTTTTAAATTACTTCATTCAGCCTTTTTGATTGAAACTGAATTGAAGAATTGAAAAGTAGAACTTCTGGACAGACCTATCTATGTGCATGTGGTGATCTTATGCTGTGACTGGTCGAATCACTAAACTATTCACTTTTAATTAATAAATAAAATCAAAGCAAAGGACTCCTTATGCTAAAACACCTCTGAACTACAGAAGAAGAATTTATTAACAAATTCCATAATATAACAATAACTGAAAGGTGTGGACCTGAACATCCAAAAAATTTGTTCTGAAATGAAGGTTTCAAAAAATGATTACACCAAACAAGTCATAAGTGATGTGGATGATTTAACTGAATTTATCAACAAATATTCAGTTTTCATTAATTTGCATAACAATGACTTTTTGATATCTGGTTATTGGGACAAATACATTCCCAATAATTTTTTTGGAACTTTGATTAATGAAGACAATAAAATTCATGATAGCTCCAATCTGAATCAGTGCTTCATCAACAAGCAGGATAATTTTAAAGACACAGTTTCAGAAAAATCTGACCTTCTTTTCATTAATATTGGTGTAGAAGAATTTTTAAATGAAATATCTAAAAGAACTCTCCCTTCCATAGCATCATTAAAATCTCTTGATGCATTGAAGCAAGAAATGGGGATTAATTTGTGTAACAGTAAAGCAAGCATTCAAAAGACAATGTCATTCAAAAAGTGCCATGAGGTTGAAGTTATGGGAAATTTATGCAGTGATCTTGCAAATAATTATAATATAAAAAGTGTTGGTGTTATATTAAATGAAATAATTTATCAGTAAACAACTTAATATTGAACAATGTAATAAATAACTGAACCAAGGTGATTGACATTGGATCAGGTCTGGGTTATCTTGGTAGCTACTTAGCACTGTACAAATTTGATGTACTAGGCATTGATTCAGAACCAGGAAGAGATGTAGCAGCTATGAAGAGGAACAAAACTTTGAAAAATCAAATTAACACATTGGTAATTAAAAGATATTATGCATTCAATTTTTAAATGGGATGGCAACTGTCATATTTTTGTGTTAAAATTTGCAGATGCTTTTGATAGATTCACTGTAATTTTGTACTTAACAATCTTTTAATCTAGGTCAATGATAATGATCGGGAGAAAAAAAAATGTAAAATAAAACATTGTGAAACTTCTCAGTTTATTCCTGTTTGTGAACATGTTACAAACTACACAGAAATAAATAAAACTTTCAAAAATCATTTTGGATCGAAATCACTTGAAAAGAAAAATGACTCATCAGATGAAATGATGTTTACAGCTCTGCATGCATGTGGTGATCTTTCATCTCACATATTGAACTTGTTTGTTGATTCTGATAGGGCAACAGTGTTATGCCTGGTCGGCTGCTGTTATAATCTCTTAACAGAAGAATTTCCTTCAAAGGAATTTCATGATAATGCTGCAAAACAAGGTTTATCATGTTGCTATTTTTTGTGTGAATTTTGGTTGTTTTGAGTTGAGATTCTGTGAAGTTTTTCAACTGAAATTTTAAATTTGTTTGTGAGATTTTAATACTGATACCTGAATTACATCTTTGACAGATGGTTATGGATTTCCCATGAGTAGCCATTTACGAAACAGATCATTCCACCTGGGTAAAAATGCTCGATCACTAGCATCTCAGCCATTAGATAGGCTCAGAGTCAACCAGACAGTTAGTACGACTTTACAAACACCATTTTAAAAGAAATATTCCATCTAACATAGTTAACTAATTAATCTGGCGATGAAAACTGTTTTTTGTTTTTAAGCTTGCATCTTGATTCTCTAATTTTGTTACTTAAAAACTTATTGTTTTCTAGGTTCCCTCAGACACATTGTTTTGGAGAGCTGTTTTGCAGGTTATACTCATTGAAAAATTAGGCAACCCAAAAAATAAAATTGAATTGAGGGTAGGAAAACTGAACAAGAAAGTTAATTCTTTCAATGAATATGTTAACAAGGCCATTCAAAAACTCAACTTGGACATTACAGTAGTTCATAAAAATTATAACTTTTGAATAGAAATGTTTCTAAACCGTTAAAAATTATTTTCAGATATCTGATGCTGAAATATCAGATTATTATTTGAGGTATAGTAGTCATAAAGATAAATATTTTGCGTTTTATAAACTGAGGACATGCATGGGTCCTGTTATTGAAGCACTTATTCAACTTGATCGATTGCTCTTTCTCTTAGAACAAGTGAGTTTATATAATAAAAATTGTTTCAAGGGTCAAGTCAACCTTCTTTTACTATTTTGTTAGTTGTTAGTTAGTAGTTAGTAATTTATATGGGTTATTTGATCTTATTCAACAGGAAAATACGCATTCAGCATTTTTGATTGAAATATTTGATCCAGTAATATCTCCCAGGTGCTATTCACTGATTGCAATCAAACAAACGTCAAACGAAAGATTTTAGTTTATATTTAAAAATAAATATATTCAGTAAAATGTTTTGTATATAACTAAAAAATTGAAAAAACCTAAAATTGTTAAAATAAAATAGTACCGAAACTGTAAATGGAATGTGTTAACATGTTGCGTGAATGAAGGAAATAATTATAAAAATGGAAATAAAACATTCGAACAGATAAAATATTTGGTATTAAAAATTACAGAAAAACGCGTTTTTTGGTACAATTGATGAGAAACATGATGATTAGTTATAAAGTACAACCTACGAATAACAAATAAAATGAGTTAACAAGTTGGGTAAATGTCTCTAATTCAATTAATCTTAATTGTTTAATCGTTTGAAATGATGAAAATGTCACAATAAATATTCAACAAGACAAAAGTAGCTAAATTTTCCTGACGTATAATGAAACATGATGAAAATTATCAATTTTAAATTTAGGGAAATTTTATGCTGAGCATATGAGGATGAAAAAGATCGACGTGTAAGATGATTGAATTTATTCAGATCTTTTAAAAAATTTGTGATCTTTCACTTGATAAATTTAGTATATCTTAGGATGAATTAAAATCGGCAGGAAAAAATTCAAAAGTGTAAAAAATTTTAAAATTCAGTATTAGAGCAAACATTTGCGTCATACAAGTTGCTTTGTTGAACGTACATATTTTGAGTGATTGACATTACTTTAAGATAAGCTAAAACTCCAGATGAAAACGAAAGATATGTATCTCAGAATCCTGTTTTATATAAAAAAATACATCATGATTAATGTCAATAAATTTGTTAACAGCAGCTTTCCCATGTCTCGAATAAGTACTGACAAAGGCAAAAACAGTATTTTACGAGTCATACAAACCTCTTTTTGCCTTGTATGAGGCTTGACGAGCAATATTCAATCTCACACCAAGCATCTGCTGTCTTCGCAATTTTTCATCTTCTATTCTTTGTTTCAGGTCACCACTTTGTGACGTTAATTCTTCCCTGCTAAACTGCGTCAAACTTCAAATGGTATTTTTAATAAGATATTCGATCTAAACAATATTTTTTAAATTTGATTCAAGCAGTATGCCAATTATCTTCAACAAATTTTTAACACGAGTAGTTTATTGAACTAACGAATACCTTTGAGCTGCTACCAATCTCTTCAGTTGTTCAGCTTTATTTTGCCTTTGATTTCTTTCATCTGGTGATTCAGATTGATTGTAGAAAGCATGTTTCTCAGAATCATTTCCCTTCATTTTCTGGATAAGTGTTGATTAACAATACATTAGTTATTGTTTGTAATGCAGTTCTGTAGTTTTCATCATTAGAACAAAACTGCACCAAAAATACTACCACTGCGTATTTGTCCAAGGCATCATTTTCTGCAGAATTACCACATTTATGTATGTTGTTAGAACTTTCGCTTTTGTAAAAGGGTCTTGGAGTGAATATACCTGATAACCTTCTTGCATGCTCTCGGTCACGGAAGCCAGTATTACGGTTTTCATCATCAGTTAAATTGTCAGCGTCATTATTATTATACTTTTTTAGATCCTGTATAATTGTTAATTAATTAACTAATTAATTAATAGATTTAGCAAGACAAAAACGCCTGTTAGATTTATCCATCAGCGAACCTGCGTTGATTTGGCGTTTCTTATTAGGTTGCCTATTTTGTTAGGCTTGACATCTTTACCTTCTCTAGAAAAATATCTTGTGGGTATTTGTTCTGTCAACAAATTAACACGACGCCATAAATTCAATATTGTACTATTAGACCAAATATGTGGGTAAATATTACAAGCGATTAAATTAACAGAATAATTATTATTACCCACCTTTATTGTCTTCATCTTTAGCCCAATGAGGGGTGTTATTCTGTATGAAAAAGTCAAAATAATCGAACGTATAATCTTAACATGTTTCGTTTCCAAATGAACCGATGTTATGTTAGCTGTAAAAAATCCTAGCGAGTTTAATTCAGCTTTCGTTAGCTTAATTACTAGTCAAACATTTCTCATCTTTGTGACTTGAATTTTTTAGAATTTTCTGCTTATGTTGTGATAATTGGTTTCTATACAATGTTAACAACTTTTAATATCAAGGAACACATTAACACTGCTCCATTGAACTATAAACAAATAATTATTAACGTTTTCCGATCTGTATGGGATAAGGACGCTTATTACCTTTTTAAAATTTCCTTGATACAAATCATTGCTTCTTCAATATTTTCAAAAATAACTTACTTATCATCAACGTTATTAAATTTGGCGTATAGTCGAACGGTAATTTTACAAATAAAAAAATTTACATACTGCGTGTGATTCAAACATGTTGACAGAATTTTGAATACTCTGGTCTAACTGCTGTCTATGCATCCGAACAATTCCTGTGTTGCTTGACTGAACATTGCTTGATTGGACATCGCTTGATAGAGTTTTGCGCAGCGGTTGAACATCGCGGTTGCTGCTTCTACGGTTCAGTATTACGTAGTTTGTGTCCTGATTCATTTGTGATCCTGCACTGTTGTTTGCATTTGTAACTGCTTGATGGCCTAAATTTATTGTCCTGGGCAAATCGTTTACATATTTTATGATGTCTACACGCCGATCATTTGACACTTTTTCGTCAAGTTTACCGTTCTGATAGTTTGCATAACTTTTTTTCGGTACTGATGCTTCTCTTTGCAGCATTCCGTATGTGAATTTGGCAATGTTTTTAGTTTCCATGGAATCTAAATTCGTTTCAAAGTAAGTTGAGTTTTGTGTGATGTCCTGGTTTTTTATACTCGTTCCTTCACTTTTACTGTGTACGATTTGTCGACTGGTTCCTGCACCAGGGGAGTTCATACTGCTCTTGTTTTGCATATGAGATCCTGGAAAATTGTCACTGAATTCAGCTGCTTCATAATTGCTTTTTGCTGTGTGAACATTAATGGATGTTTTAAATGATCGAGCATTGTAAGGCGTATTTTCTGCGTCGTTTTGTTTAATCATCTCGAAATTGTTGTTAGAATCTCGCAGGGTCGTCATCTGGTTACTCAATGATTTAGTTTTTAAACGTACTTCTAGTTCTTGTAAAACTTTTGAAATTTTTGATATTTGATGATCTATAATGTCAATTTGTTTTTGAGTCTCTCCTCTGAAATTATCATAATTCAGTTTCGAATACTTAATTACTACTATTTAATTGTTAGATATAATTTGGAACATGCATAAAAAAAAGAAAGAATGGTTAAACTATAAGAAAGAAAAATAAAACTGACGTTTGATCAGGATTTTGAAGGTTGCACGACATCAAGTTGTATGAAGATTCATGAAGGGCACCTTGGTTTCTTCTCAGTTGAATCAGCAGTTGCAAAATTTTGTCTGACTAAAATTTTTTTAAAATTGTTAAAACCGAAAACGCTGTTAGATGAAATAAGATTATAGAAATTCTTATTTTACAATAATAACAAATTTTTACTTGGTCTGACGCTTGTAAGAGGAAGGCTGATGACATCAACTTTTCACTATTTAATAGATGTTTTTCCACGTCCACCTGCAATTTTGATGAAGCAGGTTGTTATTTCCTTCACACAATTTTGTGACCGTTCAATAAATGTTAAATTTTTATTGATTGAAATATATTAGATTGCTAAATCTATGAAATCCTTTTCATACGTTGTTAGCAAAATTTTATAGTTTCTCTAATAAAACGTAGCAGGAAACATTTTTAAAATAAATAACCGTTAGAATGTCTTGCTTAAGAAGGATTTCGTTATCTTTCCACGAGTTTGGTGGTCTCTTGTGATTCATCTCAGTTTTTTGTGCCTGAACACTTTCTGTGGGACGGTGATGTTGGTGATTTGGTAGGTAGAGTTGTTCATTGTTCATTGGATTGAAGTTCGTTTGCTTATTGGTTGATTTAAATGTTCTATTCAAGTTATCATTCTGTACTTTTGATGATGCAAAGTTTGTTGCGCCAGACATTTTGAAATTTTTATTTGATCCTTTATATTGCACATCCTCAACATTACAAAAATTTGCGGCTGGAAAATTGGCATCATCATCAAAGATATCTTGAAGATTTAATTCATTTCTGTCGTAGTTGCAACCGTTCTTTCCAGACTGAGCAGGATGATTAAATGGTTTGGAGTTGTTAAAAGAACCATTCAAGTTTTTTTCAAGTTGTTGCTTGTAATCTTCACTATTTTTAAAGTCGTTCTGTAAGTCAGGTGCATATTGAAAATTTCTGAACTTATTTTTGCCATCAACATCGACGTTTTCATTTGCAGCATTTTTCTCATAAAAGTTATACTTGGTAGCTCGAGTAGGCAGATTGTCGTTGTACGGAGTCTGATAAGGATTGAACTGGTTAATGACGCCTGCCGAGTCAACGACATCAGTTGGATCCTTCAGAGCGAGAGTTTCAGGTTTGTAGTTTTCGTTTTTGTCGACGTCGAGAAATTTATTTTGTTGGGCCGTCCACTCTTTCACCCTCTCAAAACTATTTGAATCAAACACTTCGAACGTTTCCGGTTCATCTAACATTTCATCGGAATTAATGTCATGGTGTCTTAAAATCGGGTCACTAGTGATGTTGCTGTTATTGTTGATATTGTTACTATTGACGTTGTCGGTGTTGATGTGATTGATGGGTGCAGTATCCCGTGGCATCATGTATGTGGGTGTTTGGTGTATGTGTTGTGAGCGAATAGGGGTGTTGTTGATGATTGCCTCATTTTGAAATCGACTGCCATCATTTATGCTTCTCATGTGGTTGTGATGCTCCATTTCATCAAAATTATTACTCTGCTGCCTTTCTCGATGACTTGGTGGTTGCTGAGGCGTTAGCTTCTGAGCTCGCAGTTGCATGTCTAGGTGTTGTTGTGAGTTTTGCATTTGTTGCGTTTGGGACATATGTTGATTTTTTGGCATTTGTTGGTTTTGCGGTATTTCTTGCTGGATTTGTTGGTGATACTGCATTTCTTGTTGTATTTTCATGTAAGGCGTTTTTTGCTGTTGAAATATTGGTTG